ACTGTCGTAACTATCACCATGCCATTTCTTTCTCAGACCAAGTCGACCATGTTCAAGGAAAGACGGCACACGGTTGCCCAGCTGAACTCGGAATGTACGCGAGAGAGATTAGCCGAGTCATTACTAAAAAGGAGGTTGCGAAATAAATGAAGGAGCGAGTCTCGGATGAGTAAGTTTGGAGGTTGAATTGTGGTTGGAAAGAGGGACATGGACCGAGGGTTGTTAAAGTATCATAAAGTGATACACGATTCATCGGGTTCTCCCGCCATACTGATATAGGAGAGATCAATTGTATTGATGCAGATATGAAGAAATCGAAATCTATCGCCGTACCCAGAGGTTTGAATGGCGATACAGTGATTTTGCGTGCTTGAATGGAGATAAGGTCTGTTGAAAACCAAGAAGCCTACCAAATATTGTATTGGAACATACTAAGGCAACGAACAACATCTTGATGTAACTGAAGATGTCAAAACCAGCTTCATATCATCCCCATATCAAGGAGCTTCCCAATCCTTCACTAATCAACAAGTATATCCTATCAAACTCCAACACTCCATGCTTTGTTGCTCATCTGATTTCAAACCGGTTTATCCAAATACATTCAAGATCATCATCATCATCATCATCATCATCATCGTCGTCGTCGTCGTCATCATGACCTTCACAATCAGCGCCATCATCATCGCCCGCTTAAAAATCAAGGAATCGGAACCAGATATGCAACAAAACAAATGTCGAGTCAAGACCATGATTTTCAGAAACCAAAGGAGTAGTATTGGAAGAATATCAAACTATCAACATAGCATGTCCACTGCCGATCTTTGAAATCATCCGTTTTGTTGCTTATCTCGTTTTTAAACCTGCTTTTTGCTATTCAGATATGCTGTTCAACATAACATCATTACCATCATCATCGGTGGAGGATCTAAAACAAGGAACTATCATCAGATATGCAACAGAAAATGAAATCAAATAAAAAATAAAGAATGCACCGTTAGACATGCAACATAATGTAGACATACATGCTATATTGAAGATGTATCCAAGCTACGAAACTTCAATATATAAAGCAGACCATCCGATCAGCAGGTCTGGACTCAAAACATGTATACCAAAGCCAATTATAGCGAAATTTTGAGGAGTTCTAGAACTATGTCAAAGTTCAACAATGTAGATTTTCGAATTCAAACAGTTTTGTTGCTCATCTCATTGACCGCAAACCTGTTTTTATTGCATGCAGAACTGGTATCCAGGTACTCGGCCCTCCACATCCGCCGTCATCACCATCATAGATAACCGTCGATGATGATAATAGATCGTCGCCAGCCACAAAAGCAAGCCATGGCTTTTTTAAAGCAAGGAATCTTCACAACAGATATGCAACAAATGTGCCTTCTTGGCGATATGTACCTTTTTCGTCTTACTGCTGTCTAAAGCAAGGAAATGAATACCATTATAGACGAGCAACAAAATACAGAAACATAACTTCTGGACACACAAAATCAAGAAAACTTCGCTTCAGATGAGCAACAAAACCATCTACCTTCTCAAACATGACATCTTCACATCAAAAACCAAGGAAATAAATCTATAGACAAGCAACAAAAACTGCCCTCCTTCGGATTCATGCGACATGGCCTTCAAAAAGCAGGGAAATAATTACGAACTACAGACGAGCAACAAACCGATTCTGCCTTCGAAACACCATCTTCACGTCAAAAAGCAAGGAAATCTTTACCTCAGTCCAGCAACAAAACGATTCTTTTTCCAAATCGACATAATATGAACCTCAAGAATCAAGGAAGCAAATCTACAGACCAGCAACAAAAAGCTTTTAATGCAATATTACCAAGGAAAGGAGGCTCAAATGGCTCTACGTTGTGAAGATCCACGAAGCCTGGAACATTACGGTAGTGGTGGCGGAGCGGGAATGGCTACCGGTGTGGTATGTTGTGCATTACAACAACCTTAATACCTTGATTTGCGAATTTACATCATCATTCTTCAAGAACTTGGTGGTTAGTTGATTGGTCGTTGTAGAATATCTTTGATAGTGACTTGGGTATAAGAAGGAGAATAGTATCCCAAGGATTTCAAGAATTTGAAGCAACATCAAGGATACATTGATACATATTCATTCAATAGTCTAGGTTCCCCAACCTACCAATTAATTTGGTTTTCGAAATCCAATCATATTTGATTATCCAACGCGAGGTTATTCCTGGGAGATCTGGAACATAAACGACCGTGTTATAAATCCAGGAACCAGATCTACCTACCTATGTACGAATTCTTGGTGTGAGTAAGGCTAGTCATGAGTTGTGATGTTGAGCAAAACCAAGGCACGAGATGACTCGGTAGTCACTGGTCAGCAATCGCGATGCTTTATCCGACCGATTTTATCCGTTCGGAGGTGTAAGTCCTATCGACAAGAGAGGTTTTGGATTTAGTCTTTTGCCTTGGAATAAAGCGATCACGATTTATTAAATGCTAAGGTCGATTAGTGATCAGAGTTGCACGTACTACATACATATGGATGTCTAGGAATTTAGGTAGGTGGGTCGACTTTCAATGCGAATCGAATTAACATCGAGCCGAATCGGTTTTACGTCCTGTAAGCATTTTGTCTACTCGAATGCCGAATGGACCGACCGATCCTTTGACATGATATGTAGGATATGTAGTACGATAGGTTGAATGTCTAAAGGAAAGTCGCCCAGAACCAGAATTAAGGTTTTAAAATCATCCGATGTGCTGGCAGCGGAATTCTTGTCTACCTGGGGTTAGTGGAGGTGGAGGTTCATCATTGACCATCGATGGCATGAGTAAAGCTGTATCAATTCTACTACCTAGGTAGGTTTTGACTCACTACACTAGTTCACTAAGTGCTGTGTACAGAATATTGCTTTTAACCTTCAACTAATATTCACACCACATGATCAACTAACAAACATCTAATTGTTAGTCGGCTCGGGTTACCGAAGCATCTCAGATTATCTCTCCCATAAACCGATGCTATTCTGTTACCACCACGGCCAGTACTCGGCCAATTTGTGGAAGTAATCCATGCCGATCTGAACAACCTATTAACCTGGATCAATATATTACCTGGCACCTCCGGATTTCCCCCACCTCCGCCTCTCCACTATATTGCTTTGGCTGACACCGGAACACAACGGGCATTTTCAAGTTTCAACGTCTTGAACCTGTTTCTGCATGATGATGAAAAAATATCACAGGCGGGCTTAACCCCGGCCTCCAGATAAGCGCCTGGATCCTCTTTGTGTTGTGATGCATAATCGAGAGCATGGTACATCGAACGACGGCGAGTAGTTAATTAACTAACATGTATTTCCTTGAGACATAAAATAACATTCCGTATCGATTGAAAGAGACTGGGTTCGTTATGCCGAAATCTCAAAGTCAATCCGAGTGCTAGACTGCTCTTTGGGAATTCGGCCTCAGTTGCCAAGTGTTGCGCTTATCTGAGCCACAGTGATAGTGGCAACCCAGTCCATAAGCGTCCACGGGTTGGTATACACTCTCAGGAAAGCTTCTTCATTTATTGGCAAAGATGCTTAAATGAATGAATGCCGAACATGAGCCTCATCTAACATCAAAGAAGTTATGTTAGATTTACTGAATGCCATGTCTAATCTATTTTTCAACATCAATATCTTGTGATGTCTGGGGATTCAATAGACGACAACATCACCAATTGATATCGCCCCAGAGACGTACCGCAAATATACTTTTCCCGCACGGTGAAAACTGGGGCGACGTCATTCAAGATGCAGGTGCAGATCAACGTCGGTGTTGAGGGGGAACTTTAACCACAAAGCGCAATGCTCGAAGGATGAATTGCATGAGAGGGTGCTTAGCGATCCTGAGCGATTATTGCGATTAATCAACGTCTTACTGAAAACACAAATCCTATGCTTGAGTAATCATGCCGTTATTTCCGTATTCAGACAGTCGATTAGAAGATTGTATGACTCGTAGGATCGTTCTGGGGCGATAATCCCAAATCTAAGTATGTTTCAGTGTTTTGGGTCCTCGAAGTAAATCAAATCGTTTTCACACTTTGAATTTGACATCTTTTTTTTTCTACGGGAGGTCTGTAAAGTATTCTACTGCAACTTCGCTCTAGTTGCTCTACTCGCTCTGTTATTCGTGCGAGTAGGTAGAGCAGTCAGTCACTCTATTCACACTCTCTTTCAATCTTGGTTGCTTCTAGTTCTAACTCTAGGTAAGTCTGACACGAACTATTGACTAAACTCAAACTACGATGTACTCGTATGATAAAGCATACTCGTATTAGACTTTTGGCCCCAATAAATTTTGGCAGGAGAAGTCCCACAGCTTTATTGGTTGTCAAGATGATGGGGTCGATCCTACCCCCGGGGGGACTCCAACAAAAAAATTGGGAAGTCACATTGAAGGGGCCCTGCATATAAAATCCAAAAAATGACGTACCAAGCGGGAATCCATGAATTTATATTAGATACACTGAGCAAATTCACTTACTACTTCATCTTCTGCATATCCTTTATTGAGCTTCAAGTACTTCCATTCTTCTTAATATGATAATTTGATATCCTCTTGAACTATTATTGAAAAAGGTCAACTAAGTTTTGCTTTTCTTCTCGGATATTTCTATACGAGCCATTCTCATTAGGGTTTTTGATACTAGATCTGGAGTGCGGGGAGCCAAAAAGTCCTAGAAGCTCTTAGATTCACTGCTTTGACTACTAGTTCTAGCCCTGTTTTTAGTATTCATCTTATCCATCGATAATCTTTTTCATCAAGAAAGTATGTATTCCGCCTGACCATATATATTCCCCATACAAGAACCAGGACTCCTTCAAGAAGTTTCTTACCATTATTCTGTCGCACCTCTTACGCACTCTCACATTTCCACTCTTCAATATCACAAAAGAAAACACACTCCCAGAGACTAACGATCAATCGAATAGTACCGAACAATATAAAATCAAATGGCGGGTGGTAATCATACGCCGACCTCCAGTGAAGGAAAGGCCATATTCCAGGAGTCCGATATATCTTCGCAATCATCCAAACATGGCGCATCAACCGGTGCAGGATCTCACCTCGAACATCCTGGCACTCAACCACCCCGCGCAAACCGTGTAGCACGTTTCCCATCTGGCGATAATGAAAATGCAGTAACGAATGTCAGAGAGTCCGACAAAATCGAGATTAGCGAAGAAGATTGTTGGAGCCAATTGGGATACTCTTTTCCTACCTGGAAAAAATGGATGATTCTGTCGGTTATTTTCATGGTTCAGGTTTCCATGAACTTCAACACCAGTTTATACTCAAACGCCATAGGCGGCATCGTTGACGAATTTGGTGTCAGCGCACAAGGTGCAAGAGCTGGTGCTATGATTTTCTTGGTGCTATATGCATTCGGTTGTGAATTATGGGCTCCGTGGTCTGAAGAATTGGGTCGCAAACCTATCTTACAAGCTTCTCTATTCTTAGTCAACATTTGGCAAATTCCGGTTGGAATTGCTCCCAACTTTGCCACTATCATGGTTGGCCGTGCGCTTGGTGGTCTCTCATCGGCAGGTGGTTCCGTTACTTTGGGTATGATTGCCGATATGTGGGAATCAGACGATCAACAATACGCCGTCGCATTTGTAGTATTCTCATCTGTTGGTGGAAGTGTTTTGGGTCCCGTTGTTGGTGGTTTCGTCGAAGCTAATTTGGCTTGGAGATGGAATATCTGGATTCAACTTATCTTTGGCGGTGCCGTTCAACTTCTTCATTTACTTCTTGTACCCGAGACTAGATCGACCATCATGATGGATAGAATCGCCAAGAAGATGCGAAAGAGTGGTGAAAACCCAAACATTTACGGTCCAAACGAGATCACGCCATTTAAGGAAAGATTATCCATTAAAGAGACCTTGGTTACTTTCGTCAGACCTTTCAAGATGTTCTTGACAGAGCCAATCGTCTTGACCTTGAGTTTGTTGTCTGGTTTCTCTGATGCACTCATCTTCATGTTCATTCAATCCTTTTCTCTTGTGTACAAACAATGGGGCTTTGGAACTGTCGAACTTGGTCTCTCTTTCCTTCCTATTCTTGTGGGATACTTCATCGCTTGGTTCGCATTCATTCCCGCCATCAAACGCAATATCAAACAACGCGCCAATAAACCAGATGACGAACACGCTCAATTCGAATCTAGACTTTGGTTCTTGCTCTACACGGCACCATGCTTGCCAATTGGTCTTATTGGTTTTGCCTGGACTTCCACAGGTCCACCAATTCATTGGATCGGTTCCTCAATCTTCGCAGCGATTGTCGGTATTGCCAACTATAGTATCTATATGGCCACAATTGATTATATGATTTGTGCCTATGGACCATATTCAGCTTCTGCTACAGGTGGAAATGGATGGTCGAGAGATTTCTTAGCCGGTGTTTTGACAATCCCTGCTACTCCTTTCTTCCAGAGTATGTATCCCTTTCCCTAACAAGTTTTGTCAAAGAATGCTAACACAAAATCCCAGACATGTCATCTGACCCATCGCGCTCACTTGCTTACGCCTCTACCATTCTTGCATGTATCTCCTTTGTCCTCGTGATCGCCGTCTATGTCATTTACTGGAAAGGACCTGTCCTCCGCAAACGCTCACCTTTCGCCCAACAACTATCTGACGCCAAAGCTGCCCACAACGATATCGTCCATGAGAAAGGAAGCCATATCGGTGAAGGATCAACAGCGGTAGATGGAACTCATCTATCAAGAATGCCAACCGGAGCCAGAGCAAGAAGTTTCGCTCGCAGTCAACAAGATCTTAGAGTAAGACAAAATACGGGAAGCAGGCCGCATAGTACACATGAGAAGAGCAATCCAAACTCCAGGGTAAACTCTAGAGCGAACAGCCCAATTAGGAGGGACATGGCGGAAGCAAATCATGCAGCGGCAATTCAGGAAGCGATGAATCATGATCGCAATGACTTGAATGAGAAGAGTATGGTTTAGAAGTGGAAGGTAATAAAGAGGAAGCAGTGAGGCCTCTTAATGATGGGTAATGTCAAAATGGCATTGGGTTAGGCGTTCGGTATTAATATCCTAACTTAATTGTATTTATAAGCAGAGGAGTTTCAAAGGAGCCAAAGATGGGAAAGGGGGAAAGTTAGGATTATACGGAAATGATAGGTACCAATGATGGTACATAAATACACGAATAGATGAACCATACTGCTTGTCCAATAATATTTGATCCATTGTGAGACTTCTGCGCATATATTGGAGTTTGGAAATAGTGTAAATGGTACGAATATCGTTAAGGAAACATAGCAGGCCCATGACAACTTCCTTGGCCTCGAACAGGATTCCTCCTTGGAAATACTATTCCTCCAAGATCTTCAAGCTGTATGTTTCATAGAGATTTATGGTAGATATAATAATATCATCCACTATACACCCTACATTTCGTTCCCGTCAACCCTTCCCGAAAGCTCATTTCTCTGTCCCCTTCCTCCCTAACTCTCTTTCAAAAATCTTTCCGTAAAGGAAGAAAGGCACATGAACCTTACTTCGAAAAATATTCCTCTCGCCCCCTCTTCCTCCACTCCCGACCTTCCATCCCCAACCCCCAACCCCCAACCACCATCCAACTCAAACCACACGAACCAAAACACCATGACATGACATGACACAACACAACAAACATACCGACTCATCCCCACCCTAGAACCTAATCCCCCCTTCCTTCCATTTTATCGCCTAAATCACAAAATCAAAAAATAAACTGCCTAAGCTACAGACTTCTTCTCGCTGTATATTAACACCCTTCTCGCTGAAAAATGATCTCTCTATCCCCCACCCTCCTCGGAAAACTCTCGTGCAAACCTTGAAACCTTGAGAACCACAAGGATCCTACCTACTTCACAACCTCCCATCCCCCTCTCCCTCTCCCTCTTCCTCTTCCTCCACTCCCAATTTTCAACCCCCCGACTGCCCATCGCACACCGCACACCGCACACCTCATACATCATACCCCATACCCCATAACACATACCACATACCACATACCATACCATCCAAACTCCATTCCCCCTTTTCCCGACCCAACTCACACCTCGAAAAACACCATAATAAACACACCAACTGAGCTACCCAGCCCCCCTTCACCCACTTTCTAATTCCCTCTAATCCTCAGACACACCCCGACTTCTTCATCCTCATCACCCACCTCCCTCCTAACACAACCCAACCAAACCCCCACAATAACCATCTCCCAACCCCACCTCAACCTCAACCACAACAAAACATAACCCCCGCATCACCATCACAACCCCTCAAAACTCACCTCACCCATCATTCATCACCAAAACCCCATAAAACCAACCTCATCATCATCCATCATTCATCATCTGCACTACTAAATCAAACATAACCACCAATGCTTATTACACACTCTTACACTCATTCCCTCACCTCCCTAGCCCTATCATCGACCTCCCCTGACCCCTCAACCCCCCAAGCCCAAACTCTCAAAGCATATCATATCACACCTATCATATCATATCATATCATATCATATCATATCATATCATATCATATCATATCATATCATATCATATCATATCATATCATGCCATATCATAACATGACCAGACAAGAAAAAGGGTGACTTCACCCTACCCGCAAACAACACAAAATCGACATGACTTACTCTCCTCATACCACAGCATCAACATTCGTTATGAGACCACCCCCAACTAACAAAAACTCCGTAATGCACTGCAGCATTCTAAGAACTATCACTCTAAACCTAACCATCAATGCATGAATATCAAAACTCAAAAGAAATCACACCACACCAAACACATGATCAAAAACCTATTCATCTAACCCAGAAAAACATAAACTACTACCGATTCCATCTCCAGAGTCTCCAGCTCATTTTATAAATCTCAAAAAAATTCATCCCTTTCGCCTGGTATATCCTACCTAAAGTCCTAAACCCTATAGACATTCCAGCAAATTCAAGCCATCGAGTCCCCAATCATCTGAAAATGCTCATCGCAAAACCTACCCCAATCATTATGATGGATGTACACCATGAAACTCATCTCCTTTACCCATTTCGCCTAATTCCCACGCCTCCTTAGATTCCTGTTTCCAATGCCCACGCAGCCAAGTTCCTATAGCAATTCAAAACTTCCTCTGTCAATAATCTCGGCGCGGGCATTGGACAGTGATCAGATGGTCTTAATCGTGTACCGTTTGCTACTATTCCCGCACTACCATCATAAAGTTCTGGATGCCTTTCAAAAAATGCTGAATCTAATTTGTACTGTGCCACGCCTTGATTCATTCCCAGAGCCACAAAAGTTGAGAGAGCCATTTGCTTCGAGTTGAATAGAGCCGCGACATTCGGTGCTGGTAATGTTGCAAGCGGCTCCATAGTGATACCCTGCAAGACATTACCCTCTCGCATTTGCTTGTTGAGTTCAAAGCTAGCTCGACAAATCTCGTCCCATGAGATATTATCTTCGCTTGAAAATGCTGATTTCTTGGTTCCTCCTGACATTGCTTGAACTAAATCCCAGACACCTATGTTACCCGTTGCAGCACTCAGTCCCATAACGAGTTTAGACACGTCGGCTTCCACTAAATAACTATTTCCAATTTCACAAATAATTTGATCCAGGCATGGGTTAGCTGAGTGGCAAAGGATAAGTTTGTCTCGTAACGATGGGAATGGTACCCAATCTATTATTGCTGGATGAGGAATGGACATTTGTATTTTCGTCGGTAGCCATGCTCCATTTGTGACAAGGTCAGCGTATGTAGCAGCGGTTGGATTGACATGGTATGTGATGACCTTAGTAATAGGTACATGAGCTTTAGTAGCACAATGCCAGGTTGTCATAGCAGGCCATGATGCACAAATGAACGTAGATAGCATGATATATGCTGAATTCAAAATGCTAGTAAGAATAAGCTCAGGTCGTAATAAATCGTGATCTTCCAAAGAATAATATTCAAATGGGAGAGGAGCGCACCTTTCATTACTTCGAATTAGTGCTGTTGATTTGCTCAATTTTTGCCTTAAAACATTCTCGAAAACAGAAATGTGATCTGAGAAAGCCGAATTTGTATGGTTGATCTGTAAAGGTTGGTCTTGAGTAATCAAAGAATCATTTCCAAGGTAACTGTTATATTGAGCTGTTCCCATCATTTGTTCATATGAGCTGGAGATAGTCAAATGTGTTGGGTTATAGATTTCACGTGCAGAGAAATGCGACAAATCATTTGAAGCTAACCGTGGCAAATTGCTAGTGACGAGTGTCCCAATTTCGATATTGCCTTTGTCATGAAGGTTTGATTGAGGTGCTCGCGGTTTTGGGGAGAGACGGAGAGTTTGTACATTTTGTGATGGGACATTCGCGGCAGGTATATCGGAGAAATCGTAAAAGTTAGAGCTCAATGATGATTCATTATCAGGAGTCCATTCACTTGGTCTATTTTGCTCATTTTTGCCTTCGTCTTGCGCAGGTGGTCCTTCTGATTCGGCATCATCACTATCATCGATGGTGTGGGTTGTAGGTTCAATGTCCAGAGGAGCTTTCTGTTAAAATACGTGTTAGTTGCTTTAGTTATCATAATCAAGAAGTAACAACAAGAAATGTATCTGTGGACGCGTTGAAGAGTGCGTTTGACTCAACAAGCTGAACCTACCTCGATTCCCAAAGCATATGCCACAGAATCTGCGAGAGCTTTCAACGTCACTTGAAAGCTCTCTAATTTCTTATGACAATCAAGTAGTTGACCACGCAGTATACTGTTTGTCTCTTCCAACTTAGCATTCTGATCTGATTCAGGCTTTGATGCCCATTCAAGCTTTTTCTCGAGATCTTTGATATATAATGATTGCCGAGCTCGAAAGGCTTTCTGCGAGAGACGGTTTCGTAATTTTCTAATTCCAATTAGTTGTTAGTCACTTGAGAGTAAGTTATGATAGCAACGTCCATGGTAGTAGGAGACTGAAGGTTGATGGTTGGAAATAGAGTATGGGGGGAGGTTGAAATTGGGGAAGTTGATGAAGGGGCTTGCTGCCAGGGCAGACCTTACCTATTCTCCGATGCCGCATTACTGACAGGTTCTACCCGAGCCTTCTTTGATGAGACTGCAGGTGCACAATGTTCAACCATGATATCGGGCGTACAGAGTAATAAGGCTTGAATTGGATTTGGAATTCCATAAATTTACTGCAACAGTATGGATCGTCTACCGTGGGGTATCCGAGTCTCTAACATGGAGTACCGTAGGTCGGTTGCATTCAACACCTGCAAGCTTCTAGTTTATGGATGGTATGGTGGGATGGATCGAATGAACCGAATGTCATCTGAAGAAAACTTTGGGGCAACAGTGCAACGACACCTTGAATCAATCGTAGATACAGATATGGCTAGTAGGGATGTTTTTGACAAGTCAAAAGATAGGCTTGCAGCTTGCTCGAGCGGAACAGAATTATGTGCACACCCAAATCCAACACCTTTTTGGAAATTCAATTATTAATCCATTGGCTAACTTTTGCCTATTTTTGTTCTCACAAATTCATCCAAAAGCTTATTGTTTAATTATCCAAGTTTTAATATATCCCAAGAAACTCGTACCATTTATGTTATATATAAATATGTTTTCAACGGCTTGGTCGGTATGCACAGAATTCCCGTTTCAGCTCAAGCCTTGTCACTTCGCCCCACGTCAGATTCATTCCCCATTATCCAGGGGCTTTACCCCATTAGTTTCGGTAGTTTCTAGCTCAGTTGATGGTTCTAATGGGAAACCCGTCTTGTCGTGAAGGTTACTAGGCTCGATGTATGTTCTCTAGTAGGACGTCTTCGAAGCTAATGGTAAGGAAAGCTTGTTCATGAAAGAGCTAAGTACAGTAAAGTACGCTATAAATGTGTCCAATGCGCGTTATGCGCGTTGTGCGTATCAGCCGTGATAAGAGACAAGACTACCGCGGAATTAAGCACACGATGGATTACTTTTCAACGAGGTGGAAGGAAGTGTTCGAAATCTCAAAGAGACAAAGCTCATCTATGAGACACTTTATTCTGTGTGCGTATGCTATCTATCCGATTCTTTAGTATACATTCATTCTAAGCTATAATACAAAACACGTATCCAACCAAATCAAATGGGTATTCGCTTGAAGTAAAAAGCCAACTATTAGATTGCAGAATTTGCTAGTCAAATGAACCGAGTGCTACGTACTTTGACAGAGGGAAGATTTCGATGGAGGGAAGAAGCATTAATTAGACGTTTTCAGTAGCGAATCGCAGGTTGTACACATCCTTCTCTGATGACATTCCTTGTCATTTGTGTCGAGAGATGAGTGAAAGCTATTTGCCAAACTCGTGGCGGTAGTCCATCGCTACGTTTTACCGTGAATCCGTACTAGCTTTGTTCTTCTCAAATTCAATATCGTTGGAATTGCTCAAGTCAGCTGAACCAAACTCCCGCCGCTGCGATGTGTAATCAGGGGTTACATGAATAGCATCAATGTCATCACTTCCAGCAATGATATGTTCCTGACTCGACGAATCTGTCATTAGTTCCTTAGTTTTAACATCGACATTATTTCTCTTGCCCGTCATGGGCCAATTCTCAGCATGTCCGAGTTCAATATACTGACGACCACTAACTCCCCTCTGTCCATCTTTATTACCAACCACTGAGGTAATGTTTGCGCCATCGGATTTGTAGGTGGAATGATGTATGCGACTGGCTACACCCGTTTTACCATTCGTGCCGGTTTCAACGAGTGAAGATGTGTCGATCCAGTTCGATCGATTGAATAGTGGTTTAATTCCAGGGGCTGTTGCTGTAACGATGGATATGAAAGACTCGCGAAATGACCAAGAGACAACACTTCCTAGATCTCCAACACCACTGAGAGCATAATATACCCGTAAGATAACTATGACCGTAACAAAGATACCGGAGCAGAAAAGAACTCCGAGAACCAGCTTTCGGTATAGAGGTATTCGTGCCGCAAACAATAATGGGAGGGGAATGGCCATGACTCCTATGTATGATCTGAAGTTGGATCTTAGTAGTTACAAATCTTCTTGATAGACTTAAAATTACTTACAAGATATTGAGAACTCCAACGAGTGCTTGATTAGGCCTGCGAAGAACGCAATTGTCTATATGTTCATCAGCAACAATACATTTCTTAGAGGATCTATGGATTATCTACCACCAGGATACGGATTGATTTGCCAATTTTTTTCAATTGGAACGCATACCGCAAAATGAGCGATCATGCAAGCAGTCCATGAGAGGATGCAAAATCCGCCCACGAATTTAATCATTTTATGTTGCCGTAAACCAAGTCTGCAGGCCCATTGAGTTAGAATACCTGGACCTCGATTGATTCCCAAAGTGCACGTACGTAAGCCGGTGATAAAGTGAAAGAAGTATTGCCTTCAATGTCCAAGTAAGAGTGATGAAGCATATCCAAGCAAGAAACAAGCATTTCGATCCGATGCTGAAGTCATGAGCCTGCTGCGCGGTAACCAATGGTGCAGTGTCGCTTGTAAGGCCGGCGGCGCTGCCAAGTCTGCCTATAGCGAAAGTCAGCTTTAAACAATATACATAGATGCTATGACTACTCGGCTCTTACCAGATGTATAAAGGAAGGCAGCATCGAGCGAAAAGAATATCTATAATTAATTAGCCTGAGGAATAACAAAAAAGCAACGGGGTTATGAAGACTTACCATTCCAAGGAAGCAGAAGAGGTCATCAAGAGCAAACTTCTCGAAGCCAACATGCTTCCATCTTGCGAAGAATCGGAGTAGAAATGCGGACATTCCGATAACGTATTCTATCCATATTTCTATATCGAAGTCGTCGGGCATGATACCGGAAAACATTTTTCATGGGACCAAGCAAAATAAATATGTTCTTCGTTGGCAGCGAGTGGGAAGAAAAGTTATCCAGACAGAGTATGAGCGAATCCCCAGATGGCATTAAGTTTGAATCAGATCTGGTTCCAGGGTCTTCAATCTCATCGATATCACAGCAGATACGAAGAAATGCCTAATTATCGGGTAGTAGCCATAGCTTCTGGGGGAACCATTGATGTTTTGAACAGCTTCATTCATGCCATTTGAAGAGTGGATAGCTGATCGAAACCAATTTTCATAGCCGACACAGTCAGGAGAATAAAACTTCTTCATCAATCTAGCTCTTTTTCCCCAAAAGATCTCCCTTTTGTCAGTCTCCGCTTTCGTAGTAGTGTGTTCTGATACTAATTGCGATAAAGACTCGATGGAATCTCTGCATCCCCTCTTGGGACCACTTCAACATGATTCATATGCCGTTCCCATCCGCACTGCATATACTTTTCATGACGCATTCCATCCCTTCAACGGGGAACCGCTTGGTCATGCCTCATCTATCGAAAGCACCTTGGGGATGTAATTTTCGCAGCAGTGCTGATCTCTTTCATTAAAATGGAGCCTAGAAAACTTAATTTCTTCAACTTCCATGGCACGTTCCCACTGCCAACCAATACGAGACCAGAATAGTAATCAAACGTTCGCGCGAATGAAGCAACGCAGATATATTTTCATTCCGGGTACATTATTACGCGAGGGTGTCTTAAACTCTAATATATTTCATTGTTGAAATTTCAATTCGGATATGGCAATCATCGGGAGTTTAGATGGTAGAAAAAAACTTCACGCTAAAAGCTCGCATGAAAATTTATAGCGGGTACTGGCTAGTGAAATCCGAGAGTTGGGTTTGGATTCCAGTTTGGGCACCAGTGATATGTATGCATAGAACGAAAATAGATCCAGTCTCGAACAATATAGAATGTAATTAATCTACTAGGAGATGAATGTCAGCGACATATCTCCTTATCCATAGATTCGGGTAGGTTACCCTTAAATAGCACACGACGAAGTCGATTATAAAGTTTCGACGTCCACCCGGGGAACAGCCATGAACTCCTTTGACAATAGTAATCAATAAATTTCCCTACAGCGAAACAACCCTCCGAAACCGAAGTTTCCCAGTCGTAGCCTCATCATACGGAAGGAGTCGAACTAAACATACTCTTCCTCCTTGGCCTCAGAGCCGGGTTAAGAGCTATCTCCACACCATAGTATCCCGCCTCTTCCGTCAACCCCATATTAACCAACAAGATGACCAGTCCGAAATCGTCCACATCGTCGTTTACATGATTAAGCAAAAACGCATGAAAGACGTTTTTTTCCTCATCCGACGCACTAGCCGTCTGGCGCGCAATTTCGACTAAACGACAACAGATATTAAGCCATCGTTCTATTCTTTGAGGGACCGTAGTCGCTTCGTGTTGTCGAAATTCAATCGTGTGTTTGAAAGGGTCTGGATATGGTTCATTGAGAAACTGGATATTGTAACCCAACCTAACATCTTCGTCCGACGTGAACATTTTGACAATGTCCGCCTTGGACTTGGCATTGAATATCGCTGCTAACGAGTCCTTTTCCGAACAGACCGGCGGTAGAATCAAAGGTAGTCTTGTACGAATTTTGAAGAGCGCCCTATTATTTTTCCAATTTCTATCACTGCAGCTGAAGTTCGTCCCTGGTGCAAAATTCTGATTGATATTTGCATGATCACGAAGTGGAAATGTATGGTTATTTCGAATTCGATGCGGAGGATGGCACAGCTCGAGCTGTCGTTCGAACGTGAAGATTAGAGCCATCAGATTTTTCAAAACATCAAGACTGAAGTCTTTTTTTGCAGTGCTGACATGAACGTGCAAACCGCATGATTGATTGCAGTTCAGTCGGTATTTGCGTGTCAGGACGGAGAGAATATCCCAGATGTGACGAATATTCCATGGGCTAAACATGAGTGCCGGTGTACATATTTCGATTTTGTACCAGTTGTAAGTGTCGACAAGGGTGGTTGGAAATTGAATCGTGTCATCGTGCTTGACTATCCATAGTATGTCACTCGGATCTGGTTCCTTGTCTAATTTGCCGTTCTCCCAAGCTTTCCAATCTCGTTCTAGCTGGATTTGGGACGCAGCTCGAAACCCGTTGACCTTCAATGTATTCGCGATATGCAATTGAACATTGAGTTGACGATCGTTATCTGAGAGTGTGTTGGGATCTGTTTCGGGAGAATTGATAGGAACGTCGATTGAATGTATCTCACGACCTTCATCCGGCTCCGGGTCTTTAGTTCCTAATGGGACAGTTGCAAGGGCGAATTCAAATTCAATTCCAAACCCAACACGTTCATCCCATGGGACCTCCTTGAGTTCAAAGTTTAACATGTGGGTAGTCGCCGCATCCTTTTCCTCAGATAACGAGTCTTCTGCCTGTGGTATTTTTTTATGTGAATGCTGAGCAGCGAGGTACATCCTCTTTGTCTATAGAAACTATTTGGGGATTCTCGATCGAGGAGCTGCAAAAGACCGAAAGAAATTGGCATTAAGTTGTAAGACAAAGAACACTTGCATGCTTCAAACCCACCAATGAAATGAGATCGTGGGGAGAGATTAGTCAGTGATGAGGAGCAAAAGCACTAGCTGCGATTTTTGAACAAGTGAATCGCTTGCGCACCTAAAAGGAACACAATTCTTTTGAATAGAATAGACACATTAAGCAGTACAGACACTGGATTGAACGCATCAGGTGTCGAATTCATTCTACAGCATTACCATGTTTTGCCTCCTGTACTAGGTGGCGGTGGTCTTCGATCTTCCACCTCTCCAATTCTCCTTTCAGGTAGCACATCCTTTGCTCTCCTTATCCTATCACTCACTACACCTTCTTCAGCCTCCCATCGACCGGCTGTCTCTAGCTTTCCTCCAAAACCCAACCACCCTCCCTTGGAATTCTCTCCGTTGCCCTTTTTCAACTTCTCATCTTCCGCTAGATCTCTGACCATTTTTTGCCAATTGCCAAGTCCAACTTCTAGACAAGACTTGCAGACTTTCTTCGACTCTTTATCTAAAGCCCTTCTCTTCCTTAATTCTACTTCCGATATGTCAACCGCTTCCCTTGTCCAAGCTAGGCCATCTTCTTTGCTTTTAATGCCGGCATTAGAGGTGTAGAGAATCTCTCCGATATATGTCATAAGAATTGCTTCTTCGCATAGTTCTTTAGGATTACGCAGAGGCGAGGATGTTCCATCAGACGGAGCAGGTGGGTAAGCGGGTGGTGAAAGGGTTTCTTTGAGAAATTTCCATACAGTCTTCCACATTGGTGGTTCTTCACCATCTACGGTAAGAGTGTCAATCATATGTTGCTGCGGGGCTGGAAGGCTTTTCCTCGCCCTGAGGATTGAAAGAAAGATTGGAAGTGATTTTGAGATGTTAGAATGTGTCGCGTGATGAATTGCAAGTGCTGTGCTTGTATTCAATAGATTTTCAGATGGTGGGCCTGCATCAATATTCAATGTATGGGTGTTGGGATCAATTGACGAAGACGATGGGTCGGAAGATGTTGAAATGTCCATTGCCCATTTGTACATCTCCATAGCCGCTTCTGGAGATTTTTTGAAATCCAACCAAGCAGCATATGCCAACGCTGCATCTACCCTCTGCTTTTCTGTAAATCCTTTGGTGGTAAGAATGCGCATATAGAATTTTTCCGGTGGGTCGTAGGCCTTTTCGCAGTTTTCTTCTTTCGGGGGAGGAGGAGAACCAACTTTGATTGGCTTAGGTTTGGGATTCGATGGACCGCGCATTTGATTTTTCGGGAACCATATATCTCTCGTCGTGTCATTAACCCAATCATCCAGATGTTCTGCTGTGTTCGCCGCTCCCATCAATACGCCATAATATCCTCTTCTCCATTCCTCCGACTTCTTGGTAATGTCATAACCAGCTTTACCTACTCCAGCAACCAAGATCCCTCCCTCATCTTGTTCCTCTATATCCTTTCCATCAAGTTTCGGATCCTCTAGTCTCTCCAACAGCTCTCTATATCCAATTCCCAAATTCTGCCAGTTTACTGGAATCAGTCTTTCGAGCCCTTCTTCTCCTTCTTCATTATCCATAGTCATCCTGTAAATGACCCTTGTCCTCCACCTCCATTCCCCGGGACTCGGGAATTGGTGATTGAGCCATTCTTGATGGATTCCCCATGCTATAAATAAGAACAAATTCACACCAACATAAATACATATGATATATTTTCCAGCTTTAATGAACTCGGATTTGAGCCAATTCTTCGTCTCCGTAGAAATGTATCGAACGACAGCAGGTTTGCGATGGGTAGAAGAGAGGTAAGGAAATTGAGGACGAGGGGTTGGACGACGAAATGTTGTGTGAGTGAGAGATTGTGAGAAGCCTGGTTTAAGACTTTGAGTAAAAAATCTTGGCGATGAGGTATTTGGTGGGCGGAAGGGTCGAAGAAGTGGTATTCTGCGTACTGGAAATCGTGGACGCATTTTGAGCCAAATGTATCACTTGAATTGTGAAGCTGCTGAATGTTTGAAATATTGAATTTCAGGCTTCGGTCGCAAGTTTTTCCAGCCGATTTGAGGCCTTACTGCACACCAATCGCATAGACCCCAAACGCCAAAGAAACAAGCTACCAAAAGATAAAGAAATCGAGAGGTTTATACTAACTGTACATTTATATTCTGAATTGTTTTTGTTTGATTGTTTAGTAGTAATCACTCATCTAAGAATCTCTACATACCAATTATAGTTCATATACTCAATTCTAATATTCCACCGCAAAGCACTCCCCTCAATGCTGCTCTATCACACAAAGTCCGCAGGGAGTTCTCTTCCTTATGCTAAAGGGTACAGGTGCATTTGAATATTATTATAGATATCACGCACTCCCGAGATAATCCTATTATAATTTGGATCATTGGTATATGCAAGTCGTTGCTTTTCCTAATACATCTGATAGTTTTTTGCCGTAATTATCCCCTTAACTTCAATGGCTTCAAACCATGCTGTCAAACCAATTGCCTCGAAACAAGTTGTAACCATCATTTCGAACCATTCCGCGGGCTTCGCTTGCACTTGATCCAGCACGCCCTCTATGCCATGCCTTTCTGTTGTCTCCCAGCATCCAGTCGAATACGTCAAAAGGAGTAGGAGACCAGTGGCTACTTAGTAGTTCCTGTGCCAATGCATGAAAAAGACCTCATTAATCAACCCGCTTGCCAACTTCCCCATCCTCAATTTTGAGTTCAACTCCATCCTGTCTTTCTTCGTCACCGAATCCCTCATCTCCAAAGCCCATGTCTTCGCAGTCTTCTTCTCCATCATCCGTTCTCACAAAGGTCGGATTTACATACTCTCCACCTTGACTGTCCCAATCCGCAACCTCTTGAAAGAAGTCAATAACTGTACGATAACCTTTGGGTAAGAGACATTCAGTATAATAAGGTTCACTGAGACTAAACACCGGAGATCCAAATGCTATGATACGCCGAGTGCCATCAGGACCTGCGAGATAGGTACCTGCCGGCTCAGGTGAGTTCAAGTAGACACGACCACGGGCTTGCATCCATTCTAACAGAAGAGGATTCCTGTAATCAATAGATTGCCACCATGTAGCTAAAGCTGCGAAAGCTTGCATGCGGGATCCCCACTTCTTCCAATTTTCCAGTTTGTCCAAGAAACGAGTTACGCCCATGGCACCTTCAGAAACCCCAATCACATCGATTTTAGCCACTTTTGGCATAAGTTCTTCAATGACATGGTTAAAGATATAATCGATGTGTTCATCTGTATTACGATTTCCGGGGACTGTATTTTTGATAGCATCAAGGCGGGTGGTTTTTTCGACACAACTAGATTGAGGCAATGCAGACCAGGTCATCAAGGTAACGGGCTTTCGACCGCGACGGTACCAATAAATTTGGCCCATATTGGCGAGAATGATGGCAGGTGGCTCAGATTCACCTGACGCTGCACCCTTCTCTTGGATATACTTGACCATGTTTACGGCAGAGCCAGTGTCGATTCCACCTGCCCCACCCAAGATACGATGAGCCAAAACTCCAACATCATCCTTAGGTTCGTAAAATAGAACGATGACTCGAGTGGCAGTGGAAATATTGGAAGATGTTAGAATGTGAACATGTGGAGAAGTTTCCGGAACATTGAGAGGAAGGAGGATCTTTCGAAGGCCAAGGTTGAGAAGACGTTCCATTACTATATCACGAATGGCATCTGTGTTTCATATTAGTCTCAGTGAAACACTGTAGGTAAATGAAACTAACGATTCATAGCTTCACGTTGCAGTTGATTATATCGATCATTTTTGGTGAGGAAGAACTTGAAGTAAGCCTTTGGATTCTCGATAGATCGAATTTCATCTTTCTCGTTGATGAAGTATCTGAGTACAGTTAGAGATCTTCGAAACCGTTAAAGCATAGGTATAAATATGAAAGATATATATATACCCAAGCCCATCAAGAGTAGGTTCAAATTTAGGGTCTTTTGGAAGACCTGAGGGTAATCGACGAAACATCTTGGTGTATCTTGCAGTGTAGTTTGGTTGAATTTCGTTGAAAGTTATGGTAAACAAGTTGAGTTATGGAGATGGTTTTCAGAAGCAGTTGAGAAGATTGTAAAAATCACGAGAAGAGGGGTCGTGAAAGGAACCCAATCTAGTGAATGAATGGATTAAAAGTTGGTACTGAAGATAAAAAGATGTGAAAGTGAATTTGTATATCGCAAAGTGTTTGAGGAAATGTAAATAATTGTTTAACTTTGAAGTTTGAAGTTTGGTGAAGATCTGAAGTTTGTGTGTTTGGGTGGTGCTTTGTTTGTGTTTGTAACAGAAGAGGGTTGCATTCAGAACGGAAGAAGTGAAAGTTTTCTGCAAGGCTACCAAGTATATATGAGAATAAATGCTTAATTCGGAAAATCGCAGATTGGATGATAATTTCAGCAGCGATAGATTTTCTCACGGCAACTACCCATTTGAAATATCGAGCTTCTCCCTCTACATGGTAGATAATTTATATATTGTGCGAATGAAGATTGAGATTCAAGTTGCTACAACCTGGCCAAGGAATGATCTTTGCACAACTCTAATATCTGGCAAACAGAATTCCATCCAAAGATGGGTGGAAATCCCAGTGATATATCACTTCCAGATAGAACAAATCGAATAGTTCCGTTCTTCGTTCGTTTTATCTACTTCATCATCTCTGGATTTGCGTGCGGTACTAGTGTAAATCTCATCTTCATGCCCATATATATTACATGTCAAACGCCGGAACATTTCTGCAATCGTACATTCGTAATTGGGCGCGTAGCTTTCAGGTTCTTTGACGCTTACTCGCAGGTCCGTATATCTTTTGTCCCCTACCCTCCATTCATTCGGCCAAAGTACACATTCTTTACCAACTTGCTTTCTTAACACCAGGTAAATCTCCCGAGAGCGCATTCATTCTGAAGTTATACTGTAATCGTAGGTACATGATCAGCATAATCCGCACACCTGGATCCCTCCCAGCATCTCTCATATCCCGGAGCCATAACAAAAGAAATACATACCCTGGACATTTTGAAATCCCTCAAGATACCTCTTCCTTTACCTCCCAAGATACACCTATTCCTGATTTGCGTTGGTCTTGTATAACAATGCATTTGACTCAATTCCAGTTGTGCTTGGAAACGAACCCGAGGAGGAAGTGAAAGATTGCGGATTATGTAGCGAAGAGCTTGTCTATTCGCACGAAAGTTTGTATGTCAGCCATTGGAGTTGCAATATAGAATGGGATGAGCCAAGAAGTAATGTGCGAGATGTGGTACAGTGTATAATTCCATGAATTGAAACTCAGAGAAGATGGAACTTGAACAAGCTAGAATGAACATACCTTTCGGTCTCATGCTCAGCGAACACTTGTCGCTTGGTATGGTCACGAATAACTTTGATGTTTATAAAACATCCTAGATCAAGCTTCTTGGCTCGAAACATAGACATCTTGAGGATTGTGGGAGTTGAACTAGAAGTAATCTCTGAAATTGAGGTTGCGGAGCAGCATTATTCGGGAGGATTGTGAAAACCATTCATGCCTTATGTACGAGGCTTAAAGTTTAGGTAATCCACTAATGCTGATACTTGGAAAATGCTCATGGCAAGACTGCGGGATAGGTACTGAACATTTACATTCGGAGGCTCTTTTAATGATTGATGATGGATAAACCAGACTGTTCTGTTCGACGATACGTATATGACTAGTAAATATCACTTGTATTTCGCCAGCGATGAGACCGTTGCATAAAGACGTCCGTCCAATGCAGACATCGGTCTGTCTACAGGCAATTCTCCTTTGTATGTGTATAGCTTGTTGGGTATGGTTATTGAAGACTAGTGGTCTCCCTCTTACCGTGAGTCTACAATATCTGGAGAGGCAAAATTCTAGAAGTCATCTCATCTTGTGTCTCCTCTTTGAGATGATAAGTTTTGCGGATCGAGTACCTTCATTGTTGAGAACATTGAGCCAGTTGCTGTTACATATCACCAGTTGCACCCTCGCTTTTACTGTTTTTCTAGATTTGAAGGGTTAGAAGTCAAGTGGTGTCTTGTAAATCTGATAATCATTATTGGTTTACAGGAGTCCGGATTGTAGTCCAATAAATAGACTCCAAATACCCAGATGCAATTGGAACATTCATGGTCCAGAGTGCAAAGTGCTTTCTGATATTGTTAAGGATATCTAGTCTGCCAGTTTGGCCGATTAAATATCTGGGACTGTCGAAACCCGATCTACCTTCTGGCGGCTCCTTCCAATTGTGTTTACAAAAAGTGCAATTTCCTACTACACTGTATCGCAACATGATACCGTACAAGACTTCGATCTTCAGTCCTCAATATCCAATCATCACGTTATACTTAACTGTCATTCAAACAAATTCTAATTTGTTACGGCAAATTCAGAACATTTGCAATTTCAAAGTATCTTCTATAAGAAGCCATCGCATTAACATCCTCTGCCGCCTTTCCATCTAGTAAGGGACCCATTTCGGACTCATTCGACCAACCCTCAATCACGTCAACCCAGTGCCTGGGAATTCTTGTTCGCAGAGCCCAATGCGATGTTCTCCTTCTTTTCGCGGGGAACGTCAGGTAAGAAAGCTGTCTACGCCTGCGAAACTTGTGGTATACAATGCACGACAAACCACCGTTTGGAGCAGCACAAGCTCGGGAAACAACATCTAGCCAAAGTGAAGGCTGCCGAGGCCCTTGAGCCTACTGAAAAGACGGTACAGTCAGTGGCATATTCCTCTCACTGTTCTAACCTCACAATCTAATAAACTTTCTCAGACAGTCAGGGCCGAGAATGACCGTAATATTGGTCGGAAAAGCCATGAAACGATATGAAATCTCGCATGATGTTCTATACAACGCTTCACCTTATTTTCGAGACCTTTGCGACAATCGCGCCGAGTCAGTCCGAGAATCCAGCTTCCGGATAGAGGAGGAATGTGAACAATTTGGGATCTTCATCTATTGTCTTACCAATCAGGATTTGAATATTCCCACACCAGTAGGAGTGGTACCGGCATTGCTAGAGCTATATTTCATCGCAGCCAAATACCAAGTCAGCTATCTACAGGATAGGATCATAGATCATTTACTAATTATGAAGCGCTGTCTAAAAGAATGGGATATTAAACGATTGTACGAGAAGACGAATGCTACCTCGAAGCTACGTTGGCTTTGCGCTTGTGATACCACATGTCTTCTTCGTTTCCCAGCGAAAGAAATACCTGCTTCGCAAGATTCAATTGAGTATAAGTTACTGAGAGCAGCAGAAGAATATCCCGAGTTTGCATTTGATGTCTTCCGAGTTCAGCTGATATACAATACCTCCAATTGGCCGGAAACATACATGCATGATTTTCATGCTTGCGAATTTCATTGCCATGAGGCTGAAAGGCAGTGCTACCATATTAATTTTGACGAATCACCCAGACTTCCTGGTAGGTTTGTTGATACACGAAATTTAGATGGTGCTTTAAGAGATAGCTCAAATGGAGAGGTCTTGGGAAAAAGACGACGTGATCGAAATGGTGCTGAGGGCAGCAACAAGAAATTAGGAAAAAGAAAAGTTGAAGCGGATATGGTAAAGGATGAGGAGCCCAACGTATTGCAGGAACGGGGAACATAGAGTTAGTTCTCCAATGCTGGACACAAAGTAGAAGTCACCTACAGTAGTCACAAGATGACGAAATACAATAGTATCTCAAGTAATATCGTTCTCGCAGAATACTGCTTTGTCAAGAGAGGATAGTGGCTTCACATTGGATGTATGGATAAGGATGATTGGATTCGCTTACCTACTAGGTATACTATAGAAGAAAGCAGGGGAGGAGAGGGGAGACTATGATGATAAAGAATGGGCGAGGAGCCAGAGCTAAACAACAGAAATAAAAGCGATACATATAATACTCAGCATAACCGAACTACACAACGTCCTCAACTACCCATGAACCACCACTTCAAGAGTAATTATCAATTTAGACTCTCATCCAACAATCCAACCCTTTCAAATCCCAATTCCAACACAGCTTCTCGATCATCCATCCATCCATCGACCAGATCACCGAAATAGATCTTCGATACTTCATCATCCAATCTATGTATACACTCAACAGTGACATCACATATACCAATCCCCTCACCACCTTACTCTAGGGAAGCCATCCATCCATTCCATGATACATATATACTTCAATCTACTAGATGATGAAATGATATCTATTGAATTGAATTGGGTTATATCGTCAATATTTCGAATCTACACTCAACTCATCATCAATCCACTTCTCTGTTCCACTAAGAAATAGATTTGGTATATAAACACTATGTAATCCTACCTCACCTAGCTAAGTAGGTGACTCTTGAAGATTTGAATTAACAGATTTTAGGTTATTTCTCCATCTATCTATTGGAGGAGATATGAAGCCATCTAAAGCCATCTGAAGCCAAAGGAAACCCTCCCGCTCCTCTCTTTTCGTTTTCTATTAATCATCAACGTTTTGTATAACTTATACTCAACACCCCTAAGGCCCTTAAAACCACATGGTCGAGTCAAATCCACACTATATCATTAACAGCACAGCACAGCATCACCACCAACCAAATCCCTCCAAAAAACAAAAATAAATAAAGAATTGAAGAGATAGATATCCGAATACATAATTGATATCGATAGTGTATAAGAAAACACCTACATGAGTATAGTACTTAATTACTACATAGCTATCTGAACCAGAACAAAAACTTCCTCAAAAATGAAAATATTTCTAATCACACACAATCAATACAATCAAACCCATCCATTCCATTCCCCCTTCACAAAAGCAGCGTTCCCTACCGTGCCTACCTACCCTCGCTATAATCATCCCCAAACTCTAAAACACCCCACCAAATAACCTGCCTCTTATCAACCACCCCCCCAAAAACTCTTCTCATCCCCATTCCCAAACACCTCCCATCCGTCCAAAACCAACCAAAAAAATCACAAAAATCACAAAAATACTGGAGCGGCAGGGAGTCGAACCCTGGACTTCATCGATTTTTCACTATCAAGATCTGAGATCAGATGTGATATTGCAAACGAGGCACTCTACCACTGAGTTACAGCCCCTGATTGGTGAATTTTTTGATAGGAGAGATAGGGAGTTTGGGTATGTATTGTTTTGCTCATGGAAGAAAGGTGGAGGAGGGATGGTGGGGAGAGAAGAGGGACGAGTTTGAAGGGTTTGGGTGAGTGGTGGGTATTATGGTGGGGTGGGAGAAAGAAAACTGTGGGGTTTGGATTTAGATTTTCTGGGAGAGGAGAGCTTGAAGGAGAGAGAGATGTTGGGCAATGTATTTACTTATTAGCTCGTACGACAGGTAGATAGATATACAACACTCATTCAAATATCTTTGGAACCCCAGGTAGAGGATTTGGTATACTGAGTAGGGGGGTTTCAATCATATCGTTTGATTGCTGGCTGGGTATCTTGAGTATAATTATATATATCTTGAAGATTCTCGGACTTGGAGATAATTACACCCAAGTGAAGAGAAGATAAGATAAAATCAAAGCAAAAGCAAAATCGTTGCTAATTAATGGATGTTGCATTCCCCCGCGCGATGCATCCCTAGATAACCTTTCCCTCTCCATTCCACCAATTCAATTTATTCTGTCGGAATATAAATAAATGCATGTGCCAGCCAGTCTATTGATCGCAGAAAAATCAACGGCAGTAAACTACGCAGTAAGTAAAGTTTCTCAATAAATCCCTCTTAAGCAAAGCTCGCCTTGCTAAACTACCCACCCAGAAACGCTAACCAGCAAAATCAACCCATCAACCACTAGGAACATCAAGCCCGAGGAGCAGTTTTACTCATATAAGTATCATGCTTCGCAGTTCTATGAGTCAACTGTCCACACCTTTCACAAATGTGTGATAGTTGACATTTCGTTCTCTTCCTAATACACGTACCCCGTTGCCACACTTGACACGAGGCAAATCTCGGTTCTAACACAGAATCGGGTTGTTCTACCTCTCCGATATGATTTTGTTGGCGACGAGATGAGGAATGAGAATCTTCAGGCCAGTTATCTGAGATGCGAGGAGAATTTGCTTGTGAGTGACGATAATCAAGACGTCCTTCTCGACGGAAGTGACTAGATTCTCCTACTGTACGACCAAGACGTTGTTTATCACTTTGGGGAAAATTGTCGTCGTGCTCGTGATAAATGCTTCGATGGCCTCCGTTACATATTGAGCAGATGTGTCGTAGAGTACAATTTGTAACTCTTACTGCGCATCGACCGGCATTCCAGTCTCGGCAGGTTTCAATGGAAGGATCTTTATTCGAAGCTCGGAAGTTTGGCTGGTATTGATGATGATGGAGAGAGGAATGTTGAAGATCGCATTTCAGACACAAGTGTTGAAGTCCACAGGCTTTATTGCAACGTCCTTTGTAGTTGTAGATGAGGCAATACCCAGGTCGTAATGGTGCTACGCCAGGTATATTTCGTGAATTGGAAGTACTTGGTTGAGTAAATGAGGGTTGAGATTGAACGAGAATTGATGAAGAGGAGGCTTTTGAAGGTAAATGAGAATGAACTCCGGGATCGATATAGGAAGGTTCTGTATCCGGTTCCTCGGATTCGCTATCGCTATCACTATCGCTAGAATCAGACTCCTGGTTTATCTCAACTTGGGAAATAGCTTGAGAGATAGATTGTTCGTCATAAGAGTCTGAACCTTCATCAGTCGACCAACCATTCATCATCTCATCATCTTCATCACTCGAACTGATTTCCGAACTAGTTCCCGAACTTTGCTCTGGACTATCTTCTTCCGAAGGCTCGGACTCGGAATCTTGGATTTTGGACGGTTTCTTTCCACTCGCCTTTGATACAGAAGTTTTGATGCTACACTTGAGACTTGAATTGCCGGTCTTTGATTTCTTGGTAACGACAGAGTCACTGTCGTGATTAGTATCATCTTCAGCGACAAGAGCTTTTCTTTTTCTAATGCTTTTTCTTGAAGACCCCTTTGAAATTCCATCTTCACTGACAGTGGGACTATCACGAATATCGAGAACATCACGTATAGCTTGAGAACGTTTGGTATCTCCAACCTTGTTCACGACAACGGTACCAGGTACAATTCGAGTCTTCTGTGGAGGGATTGACGACAACGGTACTCTCCATGCCTTTTCCAGCTGCTCATTATAAGTTTTGGAATCTATAACTTTCTGGCCTGGATTGACTGAATTTTCTGAAGCTTTATGATCCATCTCGATATCAGAAGCCCCATAAAGATCTTCTGTTGGTGCTTCGTCTTTGACATTTGCTGCATCATGCCTCTGCGATCAATCAATCTTTTTGCCTTCTGGAGGAATCACTCTTGTAGAGGGTGGATTTCGGACAGGAGCTAGTGGAGTTGATGATGATTGCTTCGTGATTTCCTCCGTGGTGGATTTTTGCATTGTGATTTCTTGAAGCACACTCACGTCCTGGTCTTCGTTGATTACTTCCCGCACAACTGGATGAATAGTTTCATGACTAGCCCCCGAAGTCTTATTTGTTCCATTCCCAGACCTAAGATTCTCATCATCTCCCTGGGAAACTTCTGACTGTGAAAATCTTGGCGGAGTACTTTGTTGCGCACTCGAACGCACATCTTGATCGGAAGGAGTATCAATAATTTGCGAACGATTCAAAAGCACCGCATCTTCAACCCCATCAAAAATCTTCGAAATATGCTCTGGTACTTCTGCTGGCTCCGTAATTCCGGTCCGATGGCAAGTTTCTCCCGGGGAATGGCAATGAAATGCACAAATTGGCAGACCAGAATCATGAACATCTCTCCAATCCGTATCAAAACCTCTGATATAATCCCGATGAAAGAGATCCACCAGATGAAAGTCAGCAAAGATGTCCGGATTACCCCTGCCAGCAGAAATAAATTTCTTGCGATTGTCCCTCTGCGACGCAGTCGCAGGTCCTGTTTCTCGTCCCCAAGACCAGGCTGCTGATGCCGCAGAATACCATCTCAGCAAGCTTCCTTTGGAAGTATTGTGATATATTTCTTCTGTATGGACATGAATTTCCTGCTTTTGTTTAAAATCATAAACTCGTAAAGCATCAATCGTCTTGTTCATTAAGTCATTTAGTCCAAACTCCTCAGCCACATAATAAATCCATCTCAAGCGCTGGGTATAGATTGGATCGATATCCTTCGGTGCATTTGGCACTTTCCCATGATATGCATATAGAGCAATACATGTGAAAGCATCATATTTATTCGGAGCGCATGTGAGAGTAAATCGACCATCAACTTGCTTTTTCAAACGACAAAATTGAGCAAACTTGGGAGAAAGCCGAGTCAATGGCCGGGTATGAAAAGTGATTTCTTGTTCTTTAACTCCACCGTTGCAAATTGTTGCGGTTTCAATTCCTAGAATACTATAGAGTATCAGCATTCAATTGATGTGAAGGGAGATTGAGCCCTTTACTCTGGAGTGATAGGCCATTCATTCCTGTCGTTTGCCTCATTAGAAGCCATGGTGAAAGGATCAGTAGAGATCGACTCTGTCTAAAGATACGAATATCAGTGAGATATTGTAAACTGGAGAGGTAGCAATCCAAACTATCAACAAAAAGTGAGCTCAGGTTCGAAGTCAAGTGGATTTGATCCAACCACACAAGGCTGAAAGGTAAAGGGTGAAACTGAGGGGTGGATAGTTCAATCGAGGGAGACGCGACTTAGCGCGGGCCAATGTCTCGAAAGCATGTGATAAATCTCTTTCTCAATATCGAATATTCCAAAAGCCACTATCACATTTTGTCTCACCCAAAAATGTTACAAATCTAAGATGGTCACCTTATTTTCCGAGATATATATATTCATTATGTTAGGATTTGGATTGTATTGGTTAATATTAGATATCTATCAATGGTATAAAGCAGGATGTCCCCGCCTACAGACACTACATGCATGCAATCTCCTGCATTCGTTATTACCGCACCCCCGGTAAAATCTGTTGAAGTTACTACAAGTTTCTTGTGGAAGAATGGGAATCTGGAGAAAAGTGGGCAAGTGGGAGCGGAATTGGGATTGTTAGATATGAAAGCACTAACCCTGGATGTATCTACAGCACGACCATAATTCGACAACATAGAGCCAGATGTGAGACGACTGTTATCGTTTCTCATAGTAGTAATTTGACCGTTGGATTGATTGAAAAGTACTGGGGTCCTTGGCTTAATACTGGTTGAACTATCTTCATCATGGCCTTTGCGAAAGCCCAGTACTTCACAAATTCGCTGTTGTTGTTGTTGTTGCTGTAACCCTCGAGTAGGACCTGTAGGCTCAGATTTCCTTTCTCGTGAAGTGTTCCCGCTGATTATGACGAATAGTCGCTTCCTACTTGAGCTTTCCTCGCCGTTTGTTTCAAGTGGTCGTTTTCCTGGATTCGGAATAATATCCTCGTGGCTTCCAAGTATTGGACTCTCGCTCCTCGGTCTCTTATCGAAGACAATTGTGCTTGCAGAACGGTTCAAGGCATTTTCCTCGTCCCCATCCTCTTTCTTGATATTCTTCGGGCCAGTCGTTGCAGTGACCTGCCGAGGCTTCTCCTGTGTGAAGATGGGAAGGTCGTCATCATCTGCCCCCTCTTCTACTACTTCGGAACTTTCACTTTCGCTCACACATCTCTGCAGACTGTCTTTGATCTTATCCTTCATTCTACTTTTACCACCGTCTCTGATATTGATCGGAGGTGTTTGCCGGTGGTTTTTAATATCATGAGAGGATTTAGGAGATGCAAGTAAGACCAGTCGTTGGCACATCTCTCCTACCCCATGTGTATGAAAAGTACAATGGCCAAGTCCACTTTCATCAGAAGGAACTCGATAATCGCTTTTTTCATTCGAGATATTAGATTCGAATCTCAACTGCAACTTCATAACATCGTAAAGAATGTCCGCTTTATCTTTGATAGCTTCAAGCCGTTTTAGCTTTTGACTATTGGGAGAGCTTGGGCGACCAAAATACCATGCCGCACTCAGAGCACGGTAATACTGTAAAGAGCTTTTCCTGGTAGTATTTTTGTAGACTTCTGGCATGTGCTTGTAGATATCTCGATCAAATCGACAATCGTGAGCCTGAATTGCGTCCATGGTCTTGTCCATTAAATCAATGATCTCGAATCGTTCAGCCAAATAGTATAATTCTCTCATTTGTCGACCATAAGAGCTAGATCCGGGTCCATCTTCATTAGGACATGCTGGGACATAGCCTTTATATAAGTATGTGACGAGAATCGAAAATGCGTTTTTGAATCGTGGTTCACAGTGAAATTGATACTTCCCCTTCTCTTTGAGTACTTGCATATGATTTTCGAAGGCTGTGGAACGACTGGAGAGGAGTTTCTTGTGGAAAGCGACTTCTTTCTTTTGTTTGCCAACTTGGACAGTTACAAACTCTGTCCCTAAAGCTCTGATGATGACGAAGTAGGAAATTAGAAACTGATATCAATTCAAGGCCAGAGTACCTACTTTTCATCCAGAGGCCAATCATCTTTGGAATTTTGTATCACCATTTTGAAGTCAAGTTGTGTTGTGGTGTTATGGAACACTCAGTGAGTGTATGATGTGAACATCCAGCAAAACTCAAGAATCATGAAATAAAAAAAGAGGTTGTCATCAAGAAATCAATGCGGAAATGCAATCTTGCGATAGAAAATCGAATTCCATTACTGCCCCTCATCCCTTTACTTAATTGGACCAACGCGTTTGAGTTGGGGAGGAAGACGTGTAACGCACGGACAATCTTGTTTGCACTTGATATAAATATTTTAATTTCTATCACATCTCAACTTCTCATGTCCCCCTAGATAGCTAGGGAGTATTGATAACTCGAGAGCAATAGTTTAAGTTCACTTGATACTAGAAGATGAGAGAACCAGAAGTGGGAATGTAAATTCATCCCTTACTTGAGATCCAGGGCCGCTAATTCACCCCAATTTACTTGGCCCTCCGAAAGCACCGTCACCTAGAAAGGCCAATTGAATTGTCAAATCTGACTCGAAAGATTGAAATTGTAATACTATGCCTTAATATCTTTTTCAAAAGCCCTCCAATGGAGACAACCTTGGAGTAATTCCTTTCATGTTAAATCTTGCAACCCATTTTGCTCACAACATCGCCAACCAATTGATAATCATCATGCTCTTTACCAAATTCCCCCTCAGATCCAAATGAACCCCATCGTATTTTCTCGCTTGAATACTCATATTCCAAGTCCCTAGATGCTCTAACCCTCTTTTTCCTGCTTCAATTCCCACTGCCTCTTCATATAACATCAGTGCTTTATTCCCTTGACTTACAATCCACTCATCCGTCTTTTCTTTCCCTGCTGCGTTTGGAGTGACAAAAAGACCTTTCCATTTCTCCCGACCAATTGTAGAGTCTATGAGTGTAACTAAAGTGTCAAGCCATTGGACTGTCTTTGGAAGGTCGAGATCAGACCAAAGACCATGACCGAAGATTATAGCTATAGGCTTAGATGTAGGACTGACAAGAAGGTCAGCGCGAAGACGAGAAATTTCGTCTTCCGGCACGTTGAAGTAGACAATTTCTTCCACTATTATTGTGAATGTTAGTCGCGGAAATCTCTGTGGAGTGATAAAGGACTCACTCATAACGTTGACCGAGTTTGAACAGGATATGCTCCCTGGATCATGAGCTTCCACATCTGAGGTCTTAAATATACCTTGTACTGAACAAGTTTTGACATCAAACTGTTCGTTGCAAAAGCATTCCTTCCTAATTTTGAATAGTATGTTAGTCTTTAATTTTCACACCTAGTGAGAAGCACTAGGCAGAAAGAAAGGCAGTAGACTAGCCCCGTGGATGTCTAAAACGATCCTGAACATTCAAATGCTGGGTATATTCTGGGGCGAGACATGACGATATTTACCTCTCTTGTACACTAAAATTCCAATCTGTCACTGCCCCATAGCCAATGTCCTTCCTCAAAAAGATATTGAAGCATCCCGTGACATGTCTTAACATACTATCCCCGATAATCATAACCTTCTCAAACCTTCCAAATATCTCACATATCTCCTCCGATGTAAACCAGCGAAAATCACAAGCCCTAGGCATGTATGGAGCATCAAATCCAATCCGGCCACCAGATGCCATAGCCGTGAGCATAGATTGTCGATCTGTACACAATGGACCAAAAGGAGCGTGAAGATCCAACGAAGAAATGTTGCAGGTGTTTCGAAATTTATAGGTTGCGAATGCGTCAACGGAGTCTGGAGTTCTATAAGCTATTGATTCTATCGGTTGAAACGGGACATTTGGGACAGTGCCATTCTTTAGATCAACAATAGGCTTCAAGGGGGGCTATAGCATGTTAATAATATCTTTAAATTTGTAGGGCGGACAAACCTCCGCAGCATCAACTTTATGTAAGGTTCCATGGAACCAGAATAGACCAGCACAGAAGATCATGGCAATCCCAATTCTTGTCGGGGTAATACGAAAGCCAGAGAAGCGTGAATGCCGGTTTGCTCTAGCCCAGCGGTATGGAAGATTAGGTGAAGTTACAGGAGTTGTAAATGGATCTTCTTTTTGCCACATTCTGAAGATAGAGCGAAAGATCAAGCAGTTAATGAACGACAGAGATTGAAAGTTTGTATGGCAGTTATATAAGTTCGAACTTGTTCATACTAGTCAAGTTGTGAGAGAATAAGTCAAGAAAAATGATTGATCTCGATGTAAACCCGACATGAGAAGAGATTTGACTTGCACCAGACCGTTTTCAGAAATCGTGGTCGAGGCCAATAGGGAAGTCGCATTTGGTTTCCTTACCCTTCTGTTTTGCAGGAAAGAGACCTCGATGATAGATTGAAGTTTCGGAGGAAGGAAAGAAGGTAGGAAGAGTTTAGACACCGATAAGCTACAACCAACTGGTAATTTATAGCTCAATCGTACAAGAGGACTTGAATTGAATTCTAATGAGTCGAATATCAAGTACGATATGGATAACACGTCCCTCACTTGAGTGTATGCTGCTGTGTACCATTGAACAAATAATGCAGCCTTTTGAATTTAAATACAAAATCAAGATCCGAGAAACTCATTACGGGCTCTCTTCACAAGATGTAATCATTGAAATATAAATCTAACATGATACACTCCCGACACAACGTAGGCGAAAACAATCACGTAATAATATCAAATATATCTACCTACCTGGTAGGCTCATGACAACCTTCAATATCCCATTCAGATTGATTATCAGATATACCCAGGTCAACCTAGAATATAACTAGGTCTTCTCTAATGTGGTTTATTCTACCGACGCAAAAGGAAGCTTATGGGATACGCCAATGCTTTCGCAACATCAAGTATCCAACCTCCCCAACCTCTGATCCTTTGAATCGTATTGAGTAACTTGATAAATCTTAGAGTGAAAACCTCAAGTTCGACAAAATCATCAGCATAAGCCTCCCACACGGCCTTCTCATTTCCTTCTTTTGACGTCTCTGGCAATAAGTCAAAGTCTCCATTAACTCGAACCTTTGGACCGATGACCAAAGCTCTACCAACTATTCTTGTATCGGCCATGAGTCTTGTCCCGGCATCTACGACGTCCTCGGGTTTACCCATCGCCCCGCCTGCCAATATCAATCTACCGCCCGCAGGGATTATAGGGGTATCAATAAAGTATGGGCATAACATGTTGACTCGAATGCCATTAGCAAAGGCTGTAGATCTCAATGAACGGAACATTCCCAAGACCCCATGTTTTGCGACTGAATATTCTACCGACCCAGCAAGAGGAGCGATTGAGGCTACCGATCCAATCAAAAGTAAATGCCTATCCGGTGTATTTGGGCCAGGGATTGCCGATGGTTTAGCTATTTGTGATCTGGGATTTCGAGGCAGATGCCACATGGCCAAGTGTGCGGTATACATAACTCCGACTATGTCAACGTCAAAGGCTTTGAAGTTCGGCTTGGGTGGTTCCGGCAAATCCAGACCCACAGGTCTTTGAAATGACATGATTTCTTCTGTGATTCCCGCATTTGCAACCACGGCATCGATGCCTTTGGTAGGACTTAGCTCTGTAGCTGTACGGAAGAAGTCGACTTGTGATTGCCAGTTTGTTACATCACAATACAAGAAATGATGATTTTGACTGCCAGTCTCCTTGCGCACTTCCTCGACTAATGCTTTGCCCCTTGCACTGTTGACATCTCCTATGATCACATTTGCTCCCTGTCCTGCCCATGTTCTGAAGAAGCCTTCGCCGAAACCAGATGCTCCACCTGTTATGATGATCGTTTTCCCTGCTACCCAGCCGGGATCGTATGGACTTGTGGTGTCTACTGGACACGATTGTTGAATAATATCAGCGACATCTCGTGATGGGTTTGATGTAGTCATTTCGCGACGAAAACTGCCTCAAAGATGAAGGACTGAAAAAGGACGTAATGTTGCGCCTCACGGAGAATTTAAATGCTCGTAGTGATCTGCAACCGTCCACGTATTGAGTGCGTATATTACTAGTTCATGTAAGGAAGACACAGCTGAGAAAAGACGAGGCTTTGAGCTGAGCAGTGATTGCATGAGTAGCGGTAAGGAATTTTCCAGTAGGAAATAAGGACAGAACATAGGAACCATTATTTATTACATATGTGAGAAAACACTAGGCCTTATACTTATTAGAACATTAATTGTCGATATTTCATGAATCATAACGAAACATCTGAGGGGTAAGAGGATGTAAGAGGCTGAGAGGGGCTAGGGGAGAACCCGAGGCAGCAGGAGTGGGGAACGGTTGACATCATTTTTTGAACAAAAGCTCAAGCTGAAGCTCAATTCACCAGTGGCATAGCGACAACTGGTACTTTAGCGGCAGTGGACACGAAGGATGATCCAAAGCAGCAATTTACCAATTGATATGTCAGTTGGCCGATCAATTCTAATGATATGGGGAAGGTCCCAACCACCATTGATTGACAGCTATGCTGCTCTAGTCAGGATATTTGAAGGGTTTGCTTTTCCTCCCCAAACACCCCGAATGTGTATATATCCTGAGACAGAAAGGTCCCGAGAAAAGCGGGAAAGATGCTCGTAACCGCGATATACAACTATGCCGCACAAGTGCGCAATCGGGTTCTCCTATCTCGACCTGACCAGGTGGTAGTTGGAAGATGTTGGTAAAGAGACAGTTCTCATTCTAATTACAGCCACTGCCGTTCCTGGAATAACTTCATGTTATACTCCGTGTATAAATATTTTGCCAAGCAAAAATCACAGTTGAAGCTCTACCCATTGAATACTAAGAGTTCTAGAACCTACTTACTACACATGTAACGCTTTTCTGACTAAAACCTTCGAATATTCAACCTTTTATACTTTAGTTGGTTTATTATATTATGAATTGAGATTGAAGATTATATAATAAAAAGATTCGAAACTATTGAAAATATTAATGAAATAAAGTAAATTATTTTTTAAATATTTTTATAATGGCTTTTATAAAGAGTTAAAGTTAAGTTTCTTAAAATTTTCGAACAATTCGCTTATTTTATATGAAAGAAACGTTACGAGTTAAAAATTCTAAGCTTTCTTAATTAAAAGCTTATATAAATGTTCAATAAAAATGTTTAAAAATAAAGTATTTTTTCGAATATCGAAATAATTAAATTTTTGATTCTGAAAGCCTAAATTAATATTTAATCAATCGAAGTAGTAATCTTATATTTCAGTTTAATATAATTCATTAGTATATAAGTCATATCACTATATAAGCTACTTCATTTTATAAATAAAATTTATCTATATATGTCACGGCGCCAAGCACTCTACCACTAAGCCACGTAACCTCACAAGGGTATAAGTAGTTTGATCAATATCAAATTTACTAAGTAGAGTTATAACCAATCCATGATAGTTTCAGAACTCTTACATAGTCCTGATTCTTTTTAATTCTGTCTAGCTACCACTTTGAATTCCACCATACTCCGTATATCCTGAGACATCATGGGTTAAAGGATTTCTAATACGACTGACGTCGTCTGGTACCTTCCCACTACCGAGCACAAGTTAAAGCCAGAGACTAGAGATTTTCTCTAAACCTACAGCAATATCCCACCCACTGAAATCCTACCTACAGATGTTAACTCAATCGTAAGTCACATGCAAAACATTGTTGCTTTGTTTGTTCGAATTTCACCTTGTCCTTCATCTTCAGCGCGAAAAGGCATGGGGAATCCGTTCTCACGTGTGCACTGGATAGCAATGTTTCTTACTCTTACCATCTTCCGACATCGGAAATACGACACAATTCTCGCATGTCACGTCTTAAGAACGGGTCGACTTTGGTATATGTGGGAATTTATATCGTTAAGACTTGCGTAGAGTTGTGTTGGACGGTGCGCCCTGCACCAATTTGTACGGACTAGAAATAGTCAATCATGTGGATCTGGGATTCAAAACGTTGCGCGGTCATGAGAAGTTCCATGCTCATTACATTGAAAGTGATGTCCATCCTAATCCGGGTGTGAAGGAATTGGACGGGAATTGGGTATAATTTGGGTGAGACAATTCAGAGAATGTGGCATGAGGTCGGAGAAGAAACAGGATCAAAGTGGAGAATGACAGCCGAATTTTAGACTATCGAGGAGATGGGATGAAACAGGAGAATATGCCTGAACGTACGGAGAGAAAGATCTTGGGGTTCACAGTTGAGAGGGTAGCATGAGTTCCGCCGCAATCTTGAGTTTAATTAGAAGACAATTGATATTTCGCATGATCTGAATGTTTACGATATTTTGAATGTTCAAAATGGTTTGGATATCCGAAATAATTTGATTGTTCAATATGCTTTCAACATTTGAGCGTCTCTCATTGATCTAAATGGACGAGAATAATGATATAGCTTGGTAGGTGCTTGCTTGCCCTACCATCTGTTTCTCTTTTCTGTGGAGGTTATCCATAAATTTCTAAGGTATCACCTCCTTCTCATCGATCAAATCAAATGTTGCAGCTTTATCCGTCTTCCATTCAACCACCCCATCAAATCGATGCTCGTCCTTCTTCCTCTGACAATAGTTCATCGCCGCGTCTCTAACCTTAGCCCATTCAATTACAGCGGTGCCCAAAGTTTTCCCATCATTTTGCAACTCAACCAATGCCTCTCTCACCCACCCCACACAATTCCAACCGTCCTCCTTATTCCTAATGGGGATTGCCCGTAGTATTTGCAACATGCGTTCGTGATTTTCTATCTTCGCAATCATCACTCGCACCAAAAGCATTTGCGTTGCTAGAAGAGGTATAGACACCTCCTCGTACTTGAATTCGGATTTTCTAGTCGAGGTGGACAAAAACTCCTTAGCGTGAAAACGTGTTCCTCGTGAATCTTCAACCTCCTTTTTAGGCCCGACGATTAAACCCCAATGATATCTTTTCGTTCGAGATGGTTAGCTAACGTTTGAAAAAGAGCGTGGAAGCTGCATTCTTACGTGTCTTCTTTCTCCGACATGGTGGGTTTTCCACCACGAGCATAAAGGGCGATATAGAGACGATGCTTGCCGGAAGGCGTGATTGTTTCAAAGCGTTATTTACTCTTCAAATGGCTGAAGTGAAGTGAGCACTTGCGTGAAATTAAATAGTCTTTTTGGTGTCTAATCTTTTATCAGAGCACAGCAACTTGTCATATGCATAAACTAACACAAGGATCTTTCCACTAACAATGCCCCTGTAGTTTTGTTTCGAGAATATAGCCTAATGTATGAGTCGTCGTGTAGCAATCGTATGGTATGTTGTTCTATCGCGGCTAGATATAAAGGTAATAGCCGGACCGCGGTCGCATACTAGTGCGCGCTAAACGGTTGGGTATTTAGAATTAGATAAGTCGTATGTGTGTACGTTGATTGATCGCCTTGATCTGAACCCGCCTATAATCTAATCGCCGTTGTGAGTTGACATGGCAGTAATTTAGACCGGTGGTATTCTTTCCATTGCTATCGTACTAAATTATTTATTAATAAAAGCTTCAGGGCTTGAGATGAGGGTAGCTCTGATGAGCCGAAAGGATTAGGCATTGAGCTTTGATAGAATGGGCGGGCAATTTCGCCGCCTACTGCAGAAACACGGTCTACTTTTGTGAATGATTGGATATTCATACAATAAATCTCGATGTATAGTAAGGGATGGAATAGAACCTAGAACCCAGTCTGGTTGAAGTACCAGAGGGAGAAGGTCAACAATGGAATATTCTGTAGTACAGGATTGGAGTTCGAATTGTTTATACTACGAATGGGATTCGAAGAATCTAAGGATTGGGAACCCGAGGGTGAAGATACTCCTATAGCAAAGCAGCAATATATTAATTATAGGATTTGGTATATTGGAAGGAATCGAATAGAGTAGGAAGGGATGGTAGAGATAGGTATAAGAGGTAGAGAATTGTAAGGGTTGTAGGGGGTAAATGGGGAGATTATAGAGGTTCAATGATATAATGGGATTTTATGATAACAGATCTAAATCATCTAGGGGGGGATGGGTTTTCTTTGCTTTCCTATTTACCTTATACAATTAGCACCATTTAGATGTATTGCATAGTTAGTATAGCTTAGCTATACATAGACTAAATCGATTAAGACTTTATTACTATAGTAAGGGATGTTTTGTTGACCAAAGAATCATACCTGTATCAGGGATTATTGATACCAAAATTGGGATTGAAACAACAAAATTATCTCAGATAGAAAACGCTAATGTACATCAAAGTGATCATTGTGAATTCATAACATTCCCTAGATTTTATCAACTTTAGCTTCTTATAACGCCAAGTTGTCTCCTTTAGAGAGCGATAAAGAAAACAGCCAGAACTCGCAAATGGGTATTACAAATCGTTCAACATAGGCCCCCAGAAATTATAGTCTTCAAATGCCAACTTGGCAGCGATATTCGCCTAGCATTTCAGCAACCGGAAAAAAGAGATTATAGCTGCCCTCGGATCCTGCTGATACCTTCGCGTGATTCAATGCCATGATCCAGGTAGCGGCCTTGTGTAGAATAGCATTGATGTGGTTTCGACTCAGTAATCTCCAAAGTATTTTTGCCGAATCTCTTCCATAGCTTGTGCGGTAGGAAATGGATCCAAGAATTTGTCAATTTCCTTCTTCCAGAACATATTCTGCGGGTTAACGTACATGGCTGTTGTATACTCCCAATAGAAGGGATACCACCCAGCAGTCTCCCAATCAATGATTCCGACCACTTTGTCGCCGACTGCCAGAATGTTGAAACTACTCAAATCGCCATGTGTGAAGACAGGTAGATCGAGCCAAGGTCTATCCTGCCATTCTATGAGCTCATTCACACCCTCCGGGTTGTTTGGACGAGCTGGAACATCCGACCGCAGATATCGGTGAAACTCATTAGTGTTTCCGAAAGGCCCAAATTGTTCCGGCCCATCAAGTCTTCCATCGTATAATATCCCGCCGTCAACGTTCGCGATATGTGACGTTTTTGGAGTCAATTTGCGCATCTCTGCAACCATCTCTCGAATTTGTGAAAGAATTTTAGCTTGCGATTCGGGCGTCCGAAGTGCCCATCCACGCGCTATTTGTTTTCCACGTATTCTTTCCATCACAATATACGTTATTCCCTTGTGTACAAAAGAACAGTAGATTTTAGGCACTGGAATAGACGTGTGCTCTCCAATGAATTTCATGGCTGACGCTTCAGCCAAAGTTCTGAAAGTTCCAAATTTAACGCAAATTCCTTTGGATATATTGAGAACGCCAGGACCACGGCGACGAAATCTTTTGACAACTGCTATTGCGGCAAGTGTCAGGATTCGGCGGAATCGGGTATTGTTGATTGGTTTTGACGCTGGTATTTCATTGGCAGATTCACATTTCGACTCGACGGTCGTGTTGGTTATGTTGGACATGATCCCCTTCCGAATAATTGAATTTGAAACAAAAGATTGAGCCACCTATTTCTCCGGTAATTTTCAGACAGATTATTGTTATCAGAAGGCTATTGACACAAGGATATGATGCTTGAGAGAAAGGGTTCGACGCCGTTCGTTTGTGTCGAGATGTAGATAAGGCTGACGATTGAGAACATGCAAGGCTACATATAGTCCTCGCTTAGCCTTAGATTGTTTTGCTTACGTAAAAATTGAAATCAGCATGCAATGTTTCGTCGATTGTGATTCTAGCCCAGTAGATAACGCCGCTTCATGGAAGAAAACAAAAATGCGAACTGGTATGCGCGCGGTTCTCTCCCACAAAACGCTCAGGAGTTGATTGTCTCTCCATATTCATTCAAAATCTCGACAATATAATCAAAAGATTGTACATGCTGAACACCGAGGCTCGTATCATGTTATTCGTGGCACCATGCAAGTGAATGGCCATATCCGAAAGATTCGGAGTCACAAAAGCCTTCTCAGAATCACAAGTCGGCTCTAAGTTCTTGTCGGAGTATTCCTGTACCTTGGTCTTGATTTTGATTCGCTGAATAATTCACAAACGCAAGGCGCAGGCAATCTGAGGCTGTGCTGACTCTGCAGCTAAAAGAGCGATCATGTCGGTGAGTGGATATGCCCTGACATAATATACAGCGAACCGCTCGAATGTGTCTGGAGATACACATTTTTGCGTCATTCTCCCAATTCCTTGTAGCTTTAACATATTGAAAAGCTTCCATCCCCTTCCTGATAATCTCTTGTGGTTTAAACACTTGCAAAATAAAGGTCTATCCATGGCAACCCAACACATTTTAGCCTCAGCTGCTCGGAACGCGCATCTACTCTCCATCCTTTCACGAACAGATCATGCACCGTCTGAATACATTCAAATCACACAATACCAATTATCTATCGAGAGTATCATCTCCCAGCAAGAGCAACGAGTAAAAACATTAGTTGCAGCAAGTGCAAAGGAACACGAAGACTACGACGAATATCAAGGCTCCACTGTTAAACGTCTGGCGTACAAATTACGTGGGAGAAAAGACAAATTTATCGAGGTGGGAGAGCAAGAACACCGAGAATGGTTGAATGCAATCCAGAAAGAGTTGGAGGCCAAGCGTCATTTAGGTCATCTGAAAGACACACTCCAAGATATCAAATCCAAAGCTTCGTCGTTGAAACCTTTGGCAGAAGAACACAATGCAGCACAAGCTGAATTGGATGCTCTTTATAATTCTATATTTTCTGGTCCATCACATGATTTTCCAACGGAAGATACGAAGGAACATATTCTTTCTCGTGCCAAAGATTCGTTCAACGAGAGACAATTACTGCTGAGTACCGAGTCCAACGTTTTATTAATCTTGCAGAAAGCTTCCACCGTCATGAACCAGTGCATCCTGACTATGGATTATGCATTACAGTCACCAAATATTAATGCATGGGGAATTGATGGAGGATTCGATCATATGATGGAACGATCTTCTTTTGCAAAAGCTCATAATCTTTCTTCCCAGGTAGAAGTGTTGGTTTCTCAAGCACGACAAATGCAACCAGCTGTTCAACCTTTAGGTCCGATGAACATTACACAAGGAAGCTTAATGTCCGATGTCATTTTCGACAAGAATTTCTCTGACCTCAAAATTCAAGAGAATATCAGGAAGTCCAAGCGGCAGGTAGTCGCAGCACGGTCACGATTATCTCAAGAGATAAAGAATAGCAATGAACGTCTAGTTAACTTTCGTGAGGAAGTTAAAGAAAAGAAAAAAGTTCTCGAAGTGAAAAGGAAGGAGTTACAAGATGAGAGGGCGGCTTTATTTGAGAAGGTGATCGCGAGTGGCCCAATCCCGGAAAGTTCTCAGCAACCAGAAAGCAATGTTCAAGTAGAACGCAGTAATTCTCGGGAGCAAACTCCTCAATTGCAATGGGACAGTCAGCAACATATACATTATTCCTTGTTTGGAGGAGGTTATCAGGAACAGTTCAATGAACCGGAACTATACCGCATTCCACCAGCAGGGACCTATGGCTTTCAGAATTCAGAATCAAACCATCCGCAAAGGGAATTATCGATGCCAGTTCCCATATGGTATTCATCATAAAATAGCCTGTTACTCACCCTTGGCACAGAAAGTTTTTGTTTTAGAATAATACGCGTGGCGTTTGAATTTTGGGAGGCATATACCAGGGACTAAGAAAGGCGCACACAGTCGTGGGTTAACCAGACAGGAGAATATTATATCGACGCTTTGTAGATAATCTTAGAGCTTTTTTTTCTTCAGAAATTGTTATTCAACTTATTCCTCTAATTGGTCACATTTCCTCAAAGCGATTCCAATTATTGTCTTTCATGCTATCTCTCAAACAATGATCAACACCCAATTATGATTAATCTGGGTTTAAAAAGAGGCGACAGGATTCTCCCCCCCAGGCGTGTGTGCTTTAAATTTCCACCTTTTTCAATGAGCAATCTGATTATCATCATCCCATTACATCAAATGATCATCATATTACACATCCACAGTAGCTCTTGGAATGTGGATTCCTAAATTAAGGGATCGAAACTAGCGGTGTTGAACTTCCGAACATATCAGAGATTCCTGTCGATTGATCTTCTATTTGATAACTCCTATTCCAGAGGCAAAGAAACGGCTTTCGCATGAGTTTTTGCAGTCTTTTACCCTAAGTTTGTGCGGCGTGAAGAACCATTCCCTATCTCGTTGGTTGATTCGAGATTCCGAGCTACTTGGTAGAACAGCGCAGAACGTCTGGAACTCGGGATAGGTTTCCAGCTCATTTGGTGGCTTGAATTTGGGAAGTTTCCAATGAGGGCCGCCAATTTTCTTGATAATCAAATGCAAGGTGCCAAATACATCCAAAATAAATTAAAATTGTCCGCTTCTTCATCAATCTCTTCTATATCTTCTCTCTCATTTGATTCAGGAAAATACATCCCCGCACTTATCACTACATAAATCGGGGGGTTTTTTTTTTCAGAAAACGGACTTTACTCGTTCCAACTTCCAACAATACATTACAAATACAACGAAACCCATATCATCTAGATCCAATTCTTATGAGCGAACATACCACTGTTATGGCTGTTACCATTTGGTATACCATTTTTCACTCCATTTTGCTTGCTGATCTTGATATTGTTCATATCTTTGGTCACCGTTACAGTCTCGTTTTGCTTGATCAAAGCTTCTGTTGAAGTCTCAATACGCTTGCCGAGATCTGAGTTGACTTTGCCGAACATTGCTAGTTGTAGAGTTAGTAATTGGGTTGAATTGAGGGCTACATGCATTCTATACCATAGACCGCTTGCCGAACTTCAATTCCCTTCTCTCCAGTAACAGAGCTCAAATGACCAGCAACATTGCTGATAAGGTTATCCTGCTGACCTGGCTCTTGAGCCAACGTCTTCTCCCAAAATATTCTTGGCTGCACGTAGTCTGCATCGACGACTTCACTCTCGAAGTTGACAACTGTTCCTTGGAATTGTTCTTCATCGGGTTGTGAATATTGTGTTGCCACTCCGACATTGTAGAAAGACGATGGGAAGTAATTTTGAGTCCCACCGAAGTTGCCGTTGATAGTAGCAGCTCCGTCTCTGATGAGAGGAGTAAAAGGCTTTTTGTATGGAGCATTGACAGGGAGTTGGACGAAGTTGGCTCCAAGACGATATCTTTGAGTGTCTGCGTAGGCAAGAGCACGGGTTTGGATGACTAGTGCACTTGTTAGAATCGTAACGAAGAGAGGAAACTCTGTTCTTGTTGATTAGAAGAAAATACTTACTAAGATCTGGAGTCAGAGCCCATCCAGGGACAAGATTTGTTGGACTGAAAGCACTTTGCTCTTGCTCTGCGAAGAAATTATCCACATTCCTGTTTAGTGTAATTTTACCGAATTTGCGAAGAGGGAATTCCGAAAATGGGAATGTTTTAGTTGCGTCAAAGATATTGATATGGTAATTCTCGGCTTTGACAGGGTCAATAATCTGTGCAAAAACATCCCACGTCGGGTATTTCTGATTTTCGATATCTTCATAAAGACTACGAGTTTGGAAGTCTGGGTCGACACCAGCCTTTTGATTGGCCTCATCTTGTGTAAAGTTTTTCACTCCTTGATTGGTCTTGAGATGGATCTTCACGTATGTGAATGAACCGTCTGATTAGGTGAATTTGTAGGTGTTGATACTGAAGATGTCGGCGTGTTGGAAATCAACTGGTGTAGCACGGTCACTGAAGAGGAACATAAGGAAGTGAATTGCCTCTTGGTTGTGAGTGAAGTAGCTATGAAAGGTTAACAGTCTGTTATAATAGCCTAGGGGGGTAGAAGAACGTACTCCCAAAATGCCTTGTGATCAGGTAAACCACTTCTTGGGTTCTTCTTGGTTGCATGAGTGAAAGATGGAAATTTTGCTCCATCTCGGATTGGAAAGACAGGCTAATTAAATTATAAGCTTTTGAACTATTCTCGAGTACTCATCCGATTGACTTACAGTGCTGAGAAATAGCCAATCTAAGTTACCTTCCTCAGTTAACATTTTGAAGGCAAAACCACGAGTATCTCGGACAGTTTCGGCAGATTCTGCTCGGCCGGCTACGTAGAGAACCGACAAAATAAATCTGTCTGCTTTCCAACTTTGTTTAAAAATGCCGCGGATGTGACGTCCGAGATGTCGTCGGTGACTTCAAAGTATCCGTGAGCGCTGGTACCTCTTGCATGGACGACACTGAACATGTAAAATTAGCTTAGTTCATGATGAAGACTTGCAATAGATAACGATGAGGAGTGTCGTTTTCGACTTACCGTTCTGGAATCCGCTCATGAGTGATATGTTGGATCAATTCCAAGAGATTGATATCTTGAAGCAGAAGAGTGGCTCTGAGCTGATTGCAATTCTTTGGGTAGATGCTGGCTTTAGAACGGGAGCACCGTTCATCGTCGTGATGGCTGGTTCCGACGTTACGCCATTGCTCTAATAGTCATGTTAGTTCGTCTCATTTAAATGGAAGACTTGCGCTACATACTTGAGCCATGTTGTTTTGATTTTCTCGGGGCAGGTATATGTGATAAATAGATTTTGTAACTGGAGAAAGAACAAGAGAGGGCAATTCTGAGTGGTCTAGTTGTAATTGCAGAGTCTCGTGGGACAACGTTTAATTTATAGATTGCAAGAGTGCATAGCTAGGCTTCTTAGTTTAACACTCCGATATAGTTCCATCACTGTTGAAAATCATACCGTGTAAGAGGCGTGCGCAGAAGCCGAAAGCAGTACCTCAGAAAATGGGCGTGACTCTTCCAATTTTCGAGGCACAATACACCGCCACCGATATTACGGGGTGGGATGGTATAGATTTCTATAAGCTTACCGTTGAGCTGACTTGTGATTTCGTATCTTTTCAATAATTTCGTGATCCTAAATAGCCTTACCGATATTACTTCGCTTTGAAACGGCATGTAAGCTTACATTCATTCATGTGGCATGAAGATGCGGCACAACTTACCGAGAATACGCTTTTCACGGCAAAATCTTGTCACGCGGCTTAGCTGATCATCGTAAATTTCTAAGATGTATCCATAAATGGTTGTATTGAAGCTCAAATATTGAATGATTAGAAACCAGCCTGTTAGGACTGGTTACGCAGGTGCCTGAAATCTCACTGTGATTAGTGGTCGATTTTTCGATTGTTTATCATGCCGCGCTGAGGAAAGCCTCAATATTATTCACGATACCTCAATAAAAAGTCGAGATGAGACTCCGAAATACGTATCATGAACCTGTTATTGTTGAGTGCAACCAAAGCTGGCATCAAATTGTGCATTCAGCCCTATTTACTGATTTGCGAAGATACCCTTTTCATTCGAGGGTCTTTTCTATTATTTCTCTAGGAATAACATTGAATCCGAGGGAGGTCATTGATTATATCTCATTGCTTTCGCTTCATGTTAGCTATGGGATGCACGAGAAAGGGGCTGGGGGACAAGCTGGGATTGCTTCACACCTGACTACTCACCACCCGAAGTTATCAAGCAAGGGAGGCAGAGTCTACAAGTCTTTGAATGATGACTGGCCTGATTTCAAATCAACTTCGAACAAGACGGTTCTCTCTAAGAATAACTGTGAGATACGCTTGGCGAAAGCTGAGTTCCAATGGATCATGCTTACCTACTTACTGAGCCGGCAACCCTTGATACATTTAGGACACGGTCTATACGTGATTATGTCATAGTTTCTATAAGTATTTACTAATGCGAAAATGTTGTCAGAAGTAAATTGCCTCGTGATTGTTCTTGTGTGGAGATATTCTTAGGCCGTACACAGCTTTGTCCCATGTTGCTATTCTGATAGGGACAGTTTGTGAGGAGGTAAAACTTGCTGGATCTTTTCAAGCCTTTTTCAACCACCATTATACCTAAGTCTTACATATATCAAGTGAATGGGAGAACTTACTACTACAATTGAAGGCTTTGAAGCTGGTGTTATAGAAAAGGCCGAAGCAAAATAATTCAAAGTTGTGATAGGCAGAGGGAAGAGGTAGGAACTATTGCTTGCGCTCTTCAGTCATTCATTAATATAAGCTATAATGAGAGGTGTCGTAAATGGCTAAAGTCAGCTAAATCGAGTTTATAGGGTAAGGATTAGGAAACCGAGCAAAAGAGATCATGATTTTACACAAACATCCTTCCTACACTTGTACATTGAACTTCTGTGAATCAGTTCCCATAGAAGTGTAATTCTGAGCGACGTGCCATCTCCTCACAAGATTGAATAGGTAGTCATTCAATAGTCCCCAGTTAACAAGAACTATGATCACCAGTTTGGTTCTTGAAAGAATTGTTTGGGAATTGACGTTACGCATGAAAATATTGCTACTTTTTGACTTTTCAAAATGACAATAATTGTCACCAAAAAACCTGGCCCATAATCATACCATCATGCCTCCAAGATTTACAAGCGATGCGAGAGACAACCTCTAGGTATTGTTCAGACGGTGGGTTTTATTCTGTCACAGCAGGTCTTCTGTAAATGATAGTCAACAGAGAGTCAAGCAGATGGTAAGTTCATAGGGTTTTGAAGTTAACATCTCTGCAACCGCATTAGTGCCGAAAGCCTTTGCTTGTTTCCCAAATGAATTGAGATATTCATTAATTTTCCGTGTGAGATACGATGAGTCCAAGATTACGCACTGTAACGTGATTCAAAATAAACAGTGGCCAATGTAGAGAATGTCAGTCCCATCAAGAGAGTTGTGAAAGCATCAGCTTTTATTGTGGAGAGTGGGGTGCTGTTAAGTGTGCGGTTAGTATAGACTGTCGATATTCAACGACCGGAACATTACAAGATCTTGTGGAACAGATTACAAAGAGAGATACTGCAGTCGTTATCACTTGGTTTGCCGTGTTCAAACTTCAAATTGGTCTGCTGAATTTTGAGCTCCTGACATCATTAAACGAAGTGGTTTCCACCTTGCCTCGACTTCTGCCATGCAATCGCATTCAGATGCATCCGCTGGGCTTCACCAGTACGGTAGAACCGTACTGCAACAGCCCTCTACCATGATCAGTGGCTTTCTCGAACCCGACCATACTGAGCCTGACTGAAAACTGTAGAATTACAACCGTAGATACCTATTGAAAGTTCTGTATATGTGAACTTATTCCGAACATAACATTTTCATAGATAAGTTTCAACTTACAAGAACTCACTTTCAGATACCATCAGATACCATAAGTTCATCCATATACTTCGAGATTCTAGAAAGACAAAAGTTTTCAACAACGAAAGTCCCTTCTTAATATGAAATATCTCACAGATAATCTACTAAAGAATATACAACTTCTTTCATATCCCAAGAACAATCTAACGCACAAAATACCATCTATGTCCCAGACTCTCGCCACCTACGATTGGCAAGAAGCAGACCCTCGCTTTGCCCCTTTACCTGGAAAACCCCGGTGAGTACCACATCTCTCTACATCTACAATATACTAATCAAATCTCCAGTGCAAACCACGTCATGGTAAAGATAGCCGCGGCCCATTACAGCGAAGAAAAAGAGTTCATTGTACACCGCGAGCTACTCACTCGCTGCCAATCCCGACTCTTCAGGAGTATCCTTGGTCCCATTGAAAACTCCAAATACTTCAAACTTGTCATCGATCCCAGAGTTCTCACAGGACTATTACAATTTGCATATCGGGGCCGATTTTGGCTACCCGAAACTATCAAAAACATCGAGATTTTATGGGATCTCTACATATTCGCTGAGAAGAAAGAGATCCCCATCTTGCAAGACGTGATGATGAATCGCATCGTATCCTTCTACTTCAAATCGAACACTTTCCCCACAACGGAAATTGTCATGTATGTATACAAGCATACCAAACCCGAATCCTCGACTCAGACGCATTCAACAGCACAAAGGTTCTTAGCCCGATGTTATGTTTCGCAATCCCTAGGATGTTTCTACGGTTCAAAATGTAGAGAATCAGACACCAGTATTGACGAGGCTTTGCTAAGGGCTGATGGACTTCAATCTGATACGATGAAGGCTATTTGGGAACCGGCGGGGTCTCCGTGGAAGGTGGAAACGGATCCTAGGAATCCGGTGAGAGTCAAGCCCTGTGATTATCATCAGCATATGTGGAATGAGATGTGTCCTAAGTATAGAGAGACGTGTTTTGATAGCGAGACGGATGTGTGAATGTGAGTTGCGGGATGCTGGGGTGCGAATTGAGAGTAACAAGATCAACAGAACGTGTCGGTCGTTCAACTGCTAGGTATGTGATAATAAGATTAGCAAATAGCCAAAATACTTCAAAGGCTTTGACATCCAAATCCCTCCAAGTCGTGGGCAATTTAAAGACTAAACGCGTTCCCAATCTCGGTAATGAACATTTGTGACTTAAAATCTATCCTACATGCTATTAAGTGGGAAACTTTGAGCATCCTAACAACTGCAATCTGGCAAACCGAAAAAGCAATACCCATAATGCCAAACACCAACCTTGGACCCAATGATTGAACTCACCAACGTCCATTCACACCCCCATGCTATCTATTACCCACCATCTGCTGATGAAAATCTGACTCCGCACCGCGCCTAGGTGAACGGTAATTACACTATTAAACGGTATGGTGACCAATACTTGTTATTGTCCCTTCTTTCTATGCTGTTCGCATCGTGTGTCTCTTCAACCTGTTTTCATCCCAGTATCACAATTTTTCTGCTCTGCTTCTTTGTGTCAACTGCCATTTGAGCTGCATCAGCTAACACGCCTTGCACCCCGTTTGCCTTTCCATCTTCCGCATTATCCTTCTTTTGAACTTGACGCATGGTTTTCAGACGATTATTCCAGCTTTTCTGCAATAAGTTTTGGATTCTTGTATCTCTCGAAGTTGTGCTGCCTGATGATTTTTCGTCCTTAGATCCCTTACTTGTATTGGTCTTCTTGTTAATTCGTTAGTCTACATCTTTACTTCTATTTTGGATGTTCTTGGGTTTTACGATCGACTGGCATCGTGTATAGAATTATTCATCTTAAAATTTGATAATCAAGCGCGGAGGTATCGGAAATGGTCAATTTTGCATAGAGGTGGTAGGAATTGTTATAAGAAAGAAAATATATACTGGTCAAACGGCGGTTAGTACCACTGTATTCAAATTACCACCGAAGCTGGACTCCGTTTGGCCACTTGGCTCAACCTTGGAAACTATTCGAAGTCAAGAATTAAATGGTTGTAAAATCGCACGCTATATGAGTGCAAGATGTAGAAATGCAGGATTTAGATTTGTAGGTCACAAAACTGCTGGTTGGGAAATTACAGGTTGTCTTTGCTCAAATCGAACGTCTGTTGAACTCCTGTAAGCACTAGACACAAACGCCTATGGTTGGCCGGAGTTTAGTTCAAGAAGCAGAACAAAAACAAGAAACTTGGATCTCAGACGGCTGATAACGTGCTGCGTTGGTGTAATAAGAAAGAGTCGGCTTCGAGTTCTCACGTTCAGAGTTCTATGGTTATAGTACGTAGTCCATATACTAAATGTATTTTCTGGTGATTGAGGGTATAATGTTTTTAAGCGAAATTTATTGTTTGGATCATTCTCCTAAGCAGCCTTCTTCTCGGCCTCTGGGTGCTCTTTTTCGTAGATCCAGTCATTCAATCCTTTGCGGTTTCTATTGAGTGGTTAGAGAATAGTTGCTTCATATAGGTAAAATGGACTAACCTTGCAATCTCGTAAGCATAGAATTGCATTCTAGGGACTACACAAGGCCATCGTTAGCTTCACCATTCCAAATGACCAGTACAACTAAACATACCAAAGATGGTTGCGTCTTGTTCATATTCAGATTTTGGACTGGTTCTCAACATCGTTCCGAAGTTATAATCCTCCACGGTCTTCTCATACTTCATCATGAAATTTCTCCACCTCTCCTTTCCTGTCTTGCTCTTCATTTCATCCTCATTGATTGTGGCTGCCGGGTCAAGTTCTGGGAAATCCTTCATCAAATGTTCATAGATCTCGTTATCAATTTTTGTGAGTCGGAGAGATGATCCGCGGACTTTTTCAAGAATTGCCCAGTATGTGGACATATGTTGAACAGCTAACTTCGGTGTTAATGGCGGGGTATTTAGAATAAGATCTTGGAGTAACGCCGACCTTTGACTGCGAATTGTTTCTCGATCTAAGAATGTGTCAGTTTCGCGAACAGCAACGTGTATATCAGAGAGTCTGGCGCGCATACAATGGCGGATAACTTACATCTTCAAAATTGTCTGCCTTTTCGGCATCGAACTTAGCAGGTGGCGCACTCATACTTGCGATTGCGATAGGCTATTTGAGAGTGCAGTTGTGGTATTTTTGAGGGGAGAATGTATCAAATAGTGGAAGTTCTGAAGATATGCCAGTTATATGCGATGAAATTCTATGTGGTTCATTTGTGTGAAAGGAAAGAAATGCTTTTCAAAAATCAATTATGACGATGGCGGGGTCCGGAATATCTGTTATTCCGATACCACATTCTGACGACCTCAAGTGACATCACAACCTTCACGGTTGACAGACTTTAGGGACTCTCACCAGAGCCCTCATGTCAATATCTATTAATGTGTTAACTGTTATTGAAAATCTCATTCTGGCACTGAACGTACTTGTTCTAATACACCAACATGATGCTCCCGCATGATACTGAGATCTCTTGGCTCAGGGTCACAGGATGAGATAATCTCTAGGTTACGCAGGCTCCGATCAAAGATTGATGCAACCTGTCACTGTTGACAGAAGAACGATACTTGCCATATGGCAATATCTACTCACCAGTTCTCAGTAGATAGAGTGGCTACCGATTCGTTGTATTTTACATTGGGGGTAGCGAAGCTGGCGGGTATATCTCAAAGTTTCACGGTTACAGATCCATGACCGTGGTGCATTATTTCTTATACATTTCCTAGATAGGCTTCTCAAGTGAGATGAGAGAGTCAAATCTCTCCATGTGAACTTATTTTAAGCAAGATTGTGAATATTCCTGATTCATAATTTGAGTCATGAAATATTCCAGGATGAAGGTTTCTTTTCAGAGCTGTATAGTTTCTTTGATAAGTCAAGGTCGCTGTTTCCATCGTCTACTGAGAAATTGTAAGCATTTGAAACATGCTTTTCTCTTGCCATGTTATTATATTTAGAGGTACTGATAAGTTGGTAAATCGGTAAGCCATGGAACATAGACTAGGTTTGTGTCGAGACTTTTCCAGGAGGAAGATCAATATGAACAAGTCATCAACATTCTGCTATTGAATCTAGAATGTGAAATTCACTAAAGACAAGTCAGAAGAAATTTCATCCATCACTTCATTAGCTAGCTACCTACCTATTCACAGGTTGTGCACAGCCTTGCTGGTATTGCTCGGCTAATAAAAATTTCAATTCACGGTGATCAAACTAATCAATTATTTCAACCAATTCTTCGGCGCATCCCAATAATTCATAAACAACTTAGTCTGAATTACTTCTGGGAAGCCATGGACTATACAGAGAAAATAGGCTCTGGAAACAAGAGATGTAAGCTCTCAGAATAATCTTTTATCCAAATCTGGCTAACAATATCAGTGTCATTACGACGGTCTATTGTAGGGTCAATTAAACGATCTTTGTCTCCTCTCTCTCGAAAATCTGACTCTCCGACAACGTCTCAGACCAGTGGTTGCTCTGTTGAGTCAACTCACAATTCTTTATCCTCACTCAAAGGCCAATCTCTGCCAGCTAGCATCTCATCGAAATCTAGCAGATTCAAAAAGTCCACCTCTTTGTCTCCCAACAGTCATGTTGTCACCAAATCCACTGAAATATTGTCGTCACAGCAAGGTCAACTGCTTTCGAATAGTTCATCATCAGAAGTCACCAAAGCGCGCACGTCGAGGCCCTTTTCTTTCAGCAACAGAATATCTGTGCAATCTATGCAAGAAATCTTTTCACCCAAGAAAGAAACCCCGACTCGTGCAGCATCCACCGCAAGCAAACTTAGCAGATCCCTTTCCACTACCTTCTTTACCGATAATAAACATTCTGTTCAATTACTTAAGGATGTTCCTTCACAAGGAAACAATCAGTTCCTTCCAACTCAAATGTCATCTTCGGCTGAATCGCCCCTTCCTAGGAAACTTCATTCTGCCTCGACAACTCCTAATATTCGATCCTCCATTCAATCTATAAAGGAACTTCAGTTACCAGAGAAAGAGGTTTTGCTGCCAACTCGAGCATCTTCTACATCTAGCAGATATTCTGCAGGAGTATGGGTTCCACCGATAATGAATTACACAAAGCTGAAATCTGAACAACCTCTTCCGCCCCCAACTGCAAAGCGAACGTCAGTGGTTTCATTCCAAATCCCAGAAGGTGTCCAAGTCATTCCCTCACAGAATGATATGTTATTGACTCTTCAACCTCCATCAAGTTCAAGCAAGTCTAATCGCTCGAGCTGGCTATCTGTCTCTCGCAACTCGTCTACAAAAAGCAAAAAACCTTCACAACCTACACGACTTCGGCGTTTAGCATTAGGGCCTAGTAGAGAAATTTCAAGATCTCAACTAAATTACATCTCGACGATTGCCAAAGAGACCACCCTTCCTTGGGATCCTCCATTCGATAGAAATTGGGACCTTTGCGCTAACGATGGCGTGCCTTTGAATTCCAATGAGAGTTTCGAGCATTGTCTTCCACCCCGAATGAGCGACAAATTCTCTCCATTTTTTGATATGCCTACCAAAGTTCGCCGTAAGATTTATTTTTATTGTTTACCTAGTAGCACAGATATTATGGTATCTCTATCCCCTGAATTTGCTTGGAGAAATTGCTATCATGATTACTACTTCACTTCGCCATGGAACGTTCTTGAAATGGTTTCGGGTGCACTGGCATCTTTTAGCCTCATGAGAAATGATTTAATGACCTACTTTTGGACAGAATATCACTTTCACGTTACCTTGACTCCATTTTGCAGTTCAATTTTTACTCCGCTCTCGAGTATTTGGTTGCCCAAATTTTTGGATAGGATTCAACACCTCACAATTGAACTCGATCTCACTCGGTTTGGTGGTAATGCGCTCAAGTTTGCGAGGCGATTTGAGTATAACGTGGAAAAAATGGAACGTCTTTTACTTGATCTCGTCAGTGGTTTGATGCAGCGACGTGGCAGAATGGCTGAGCTTACTCTATTGTGTCGACGTTTCAATGGTTATCGTCCATTTGATGAGAATGATCCCGATTGGAAGGCAGACGAAGTGTTTGGTATGTCTGCCTTTTCCTACATGTTTCAAAGGTCGTCCCGTTCCCTACTAATTCTTCTACCAGAATACTTTCCAAAGGAAGCCATGCAGTTTTGCGATGCAATCATAAACCTTCGTGGCACTGTTACATCGGTCAGAATCGCCGGATTTCCTCTCGATTACGCCAGAACTCTATTCAAAGCTATGTTCGAACAAGGAGAAACCTCTCGTCAATTGATTGTTCCCGATAGATCTGCTTGGCCACCACTTCCTCAACAATATCCAGGCGTAAAGCAGACACCAGATCTATATAGTGCTTCTATTGCTCCGATGTCACCACGATATCCAGATTATCAGGAAAGTCACCATAGTCCTTGGTTGTACGAGGCGTCAGTCTACTCCCTTGAACGCCCTGGAAATAACGATGATCTCCCAGCGAGACCAGATACTTCGCTTTCTGTCACGACAGTTGGTGAACATGTCAAACTGTATCAGGAACTTTCACCACCAATTAATCCGACTGACTCATCTCATAGCCCAGTGAAATCTTTATTTGATTCGACCGAGAAGTCTGCATTGACCTATCAAGTCATGGAGGCAGAGGACCGTAACAACTCGAAACGACATACAAAAAAGCTGAACCCACGAAATTCTAGAGATTTTAGTCCTGGTCACTTCTATCGTCAGATGGAAGAATATCTTGAAGCTGATCTGAATAGTCAAGAAGAACAAACGTCGAGTTTTGCTGTGATCAATCTAGTCCAACAAGGTACAGACAATGCTTGTGATAGTCCAAAGACAAACCGAAGAGAAGTTCTTCCTCCTAAAGAAGAGATTCATCGATCAATCTACAACGAGAAAGACAAAGCATTGCCTAAGCCCTCCAATTTCTCAAGCAAAAGAAGATCGCAATTTAGTGAAAGACAAATGCCTGATATTCCAGAGAGTCCTGTGAACACAACTCGCATTAACCCCTATACTTCCACAGCGGAAATTAGACCAGGAACACTAAAAGTACCAAGTGATCTCCACTTGAAACGTGTTCGGGCTCACATAGGAAATTCTATGTTAGGAAGCGATGAAGGCCATATCAATCCCCCATCCCCACCATCTCCTGGCAAATTTACTGAAGTAGAAACCTCAACAAAGTCTGACGACAACTGTCTTGTTCAGAATTCCGCAGGGGACTCTCGACCAAAAGCCTTGAAAGATAGCACTAATTATAGTTCGCCTCACCCTTCTCCACAAAATGTCAATGATAATATACAGGAGTCGGTTCTCGAAACGCCAATCGACCGAAGTCTACTCCGCACACCTTCACCACCTGCAAGACCAGCAACCGCCACCTCTCCAAATACTTTGAATAGTATGAATGAACGTGACCCCAAATATCTTTTAAGCATTCGAGCTCTTCAATCTGCATCTACATCGACCGATAGTGTCATTAGATCTCCAGCAAAAGTTCATAGGCCAGTTTCCTTAGTACATCCGACGACCTGGCCAGGTTTACCTATGATATCTGCACCAGCTCCTCAGAGAAGTTTCACGAGCACGGGACTGCAGACACAGAGGAGTGAGTCTGCTGAGGCAGATTCTAGGAAATTGAGATTTTTGGGTTGGATGCGACGAAGTGGGTAGGTTGGCGGAATGTTCTCATGATTCTCATGTTTTTCTTCGTGATGAATGATGATTTGGTCTTGGTCTACTACAGTGGTGGAGTTTGTATCTTATGATTATGGCATTGGATTCTGTGTTGATTGTAATGTTTTCTGTCTTGAGTAGGTATAAAAGGATCTTCAAAAGTTACAAGTCCAAAAGTTAATGCATACATGAAGTTTGAAACGATACCTAGTCACCCACATGAATTCTTACGTGCATGGAATGTTTCAGTGCACACTTCATCATCTAGTCACACCAAGTAGTAATCTTACAAATTTCACCCAATAACATCCAAGGCCCTGATTCTTTGGCGACGAAAGGGATTGAGAATCGCTTATTGCTCCTGGGCAAGAGGTCAATATCGTTTTTGTCCATTCAAAACTGGGGTGCAAATCGATCCCAACTGCTTTGGCTAAATCTACCGCGGAAGGTCTGCAATAGTTTCGATGAAGGGATAGCGTCTGAACTGATGTTTGATTTCACTTTCCTCCCAGTGTCAGGTTCGTTATATCAACATTAGTCTTCGTTTAACCTACTAACCGAGCAAAGTTGATTGTTTTGACAAATTGCCAGTTGTATTCAACACAGCGAAAAACTGGCTATCGCATTTTATCCAAAAGCATGAAGCCTGCAAGAGCAATAACAACGAGATTTTGCCAACGAGGCTAAAATTTGTCGCTGGGGATTGCCACGACTTATTCTCACGGCTAACTATCAAGATAGATTGCGATATGCAACAATATCTCATAGCTAGGGATCTCATAAGGTCATCAAGCTTACAACCAAAAACATTGGCCAATTGATGAATGGGATACCACTGGGTATTCTTCCAAAGCCTTTCAAGGGTTCAATTAATACTACAAGGAAAATGGGCATTGATTACATATAGATCGACTCTTTGTGCATTATACAGGATGATGACAATGATTGGCAAAAGGAATCTGGGTTAATGAGCTCAGTCTACGGAGATCGTGTCATCACAATAGCTGCCTCGTCAGCTCGTGATAGCTCCGAAGGTTGTTTTCTTGAACCGCCAGACTTCAGTGGCGGCCTCCGAGCACGAATTACTGATGGTGGTCGGCAAAGAGTACAAGATTTTCTATGCCAGAAGGAATACGATTATTCTACCGTAGAAGCCCATGTTGGAACAAGAGCATGGGCGTTACAAGAGAAAATCTTGCTGCCACGGACCATTCACTTCGGTAATCGTGGCGCATTTTGAGAATGCAGGTCTTTCATTGCGACAGAGTTCTTCCCCGAAAGAGTCCGAGAAAGTTGTGCTCGGTCACCTATCTACCGAACAGGGATGTTTGAGTGGCAGTGGCCTCAAGTCGTTCAACTTTATTCGGCAGCTAATCTGACATATGAAAACGACAAATTACCAGCACTTCCTGGCATTGCGAAACTGGAATTCGACGAGAATGGCGATCAGGATTTGGCCGGGGTGTGGAGGAAAAAAATCGAAGAGCAGCTTTGCTGGGATCTGGCGGGATGTAACGCCAGGGAGCGACCGCTCTGGCGAGCCCCTTCTTGGTCTTGGGCTTCCATTTATGGGCGGATAGCATGGCCGGTGTTATACGGTGATATCCTCGATACCAGATATGCGCATGTTGTGGATGCTGGCACGACTCCTTACGGTCACGATCCTTTCGGACAGGTTATTGATGGATTTGCCCGACTCGCTTGCTCTACCATGGCAGCTGGCCACATCGCTTACATAGGGGCATTAGATGGAGCAGGGTGTAAAAATGATGCCGCAGTCTCGTTAAATTTTCGTGGCCAAATGAAGATATTCCCAAACTTTTTAGACTGTCTGGATGACATTGACCAAAACTATATTCAATCTCTACATTTGGTACTATTAATTGGAGGCTCAATTGGCTTTGTTAGAAAGGTCAATCCGAACGAGTCTATTCATGGATTGGGAATATATGGCATTGTTCTTCGAAACACAAATTCCAAACGGGTACATTCACAAGAATTGGAAGTTTTAACTTTTGCCAGAATAATGTAGATTTTGGTGGGGGAAAAGACATCGTTGAGGAGCTCTACGAGCCTTTTTTACAAGTTCTAGAGGAACAAGATCTGGCAACCGCTGAGGAAGCATGTTCTGAGATTCTTTCAATTGCCAATCCTCCCGATCATCGGTATCTCATCACTGTTTCATCATGTCAATTCAAGATACATAGTGGAGAATCGACTGTATTTTATCAAGTCTCGGATCCCAATGGAAGCTTTCCTTCTGCCGCTCTGCTGTTCTCATGATTTGTTGTCTTTCAGATCCATAGCTTGGAGAATGATCTACCTAGCCCTCTCACTAGAAGACAGTCGCAACTTTTTGATATTTGAAATACATGCAGAGTGAGCTCTTGTAGCAAGCTTTAGCTGTTCATCCTCGTCTTTTCTTTTCATAAGAAACTGTATTGGAACTCGAGATATACAATGACTCGCCACCCGATACTTTTTCGAGCCGTAGAAGTGTAGCAGAAAAAAGAGAATCTGCAATTCATCCTATGTGAATTCTTGCTATCATTGAAGATTGTTATTCTTGGAAACGTTTTCTGTATGAATGGGTATTGACCTCTCGAACAATCTAGTATTCTACACATAGATTGTGACTTCCAACATATCTGAAACGAAGCATAGGGGGAGGTGAAGGTGGGAGAGACGTAAAGTTCATGTGCTACAATCATTGATGAAGGTGTTATTAGAGTTTACGTTTGAACAGAATAGTAGTAAAGCTTCTGTGAATAAGTGAAGACCGAAACGAGAATACTGAATACTGAAATCCGTTGCTATTGGTGAAGCATCTTCGTCTGATGGTGCATTCCCGGTGAGGTACAGTGTCGGAATGGGGCTGCTAGGATATAGTGCTTACCTAATCACATTGTCTTTTTGTACTGCTCCTTATCGCAATCTGCATGTGACCAGGCGTTTTGCGAGGTAAAGATTCGCGTGTTAAGCTTCCATCCCATCTCTTCTACTCTGTGCTGCCTACTAATCGATCCATCAATAAGTGTCATAACACTACGAACTGGTGAAACTATCCTTCAGTACTATTACCACCAAACACAAAATATTATCGTCGATATTCCTCTTGAATAGCTCTGTAATTGTTATGGGTCAACAAGAAAGTGTCCTCAATTTACAACGATCAATCCCACTCTATTTACCATGTGGACCATAGAAAACGATGGAGACTTCTTTGATGGTAAATATTTATATTGGTACACAGTTCCACCAAGAACGATACTAAGATCCTGCAGGTAAAACGCGGTGGCTCGTTCCCGGGAAGAAATATCTCTTCGGTAGGACGGTTTCCGAAGGTTTGTTTGACCGAATTCTTTGGCTTCTAACTCAGCTGATGAAAGCAAAGATGGCCATTTCGCGATCGCCGACAAGTCAGTTTCGAGACAGCATTTAACGGTAGAGGTTGAAGTTACTGGTCCAGATGATTGTGTAAGTACCAGCCAAGTCAGATTTGGAATTTGAACTGAGAACCCTACGAAGAGAAATCCCAAAAGCCGGTCAAAAGTCATTTTGAACGACCAAAAGACTAAATTTGGAACCACGGTAAATGGAGAGCCAATCAAGGGTATTGAGGACTATGAGCTTAAGGGTGAAGTTAATGAAATAATGATAGGAAGATCTAAACATTTATTCCGGTAAGAGCTTTCCTTGATCCTTTCGACATGTGTGAGTGATGCTGAATTATGTAGAATTACCTGGTGCCCCGTTGCTTTATCATTCTCTTTCTCTTCAAAAGATTTGAAAGCCGATCCTCTCAGAGCGCTTTATGAAACGTTTGGCCCACTCGACATAAAAGTTCTTACCGAATATGAACGTGGTATAACGTCTCATGTTGTTGTCAAAAAACGGAATACGGCGAAAGGACTTCGAGCTTTGATTAATGGAAAGTTTATAGTGGATAATGATCCATTCATCAAAGCCATTGTTGATGCTACCACGCCAGAATCAGATGGTACTTGTAGCTTGGAGAAAGATTTCAAAGATAATTTCCCAGCTGCTGTCCAATATCTCCCGGAGCGCGGCACGGAACCTACAGATGAACCTGCATCATCTTATGCTCCCGATCTCTCGAGACAAACTATGTTTGATGGTTATACATTTGTTTTCTACGATAAAGCTCAATTTGAGACACTTCTAGCGCCCATTACGGATGGACGTGGAAAAGCATTATATCGTGAAGTTACACCTGCACAAACTCCGGTGAATGACTTTGTAAGATATGTAAAGAATGTGGCAGGAGAAAAAGGAGTGGGTGAGTTTGAGGATGGAAGCGAGGGAAAGGGTGTTGCGGTTGTGGGCTTTCATCCCACCAAAGGAGAAGGTGTTGAATGGTTCAAAGACTTTGCTAGTCAAGTTGCTTTGGCTTTGGATCAACGACTCATATTACAAAGTGAATTCTTGGATGCAATACTCAAGACAGATGCGAGTTTATTGAGGAGACCTCTTGAAGTAGAGATGTCTGGAGTTGTAGCTCCAGCTTCAACGCCAGGTAAGCTTACTTTTGAATTCACTGGTGATTGGATTGACTGACAATTATAAGCTACGTATCCAAACGCTGGTAGACTAATAGATGCGTCTGCTGAGTCTCATCCTATTCTACCCCCCAAGGCTGACCCAGTTACAACACCTAAGCCTAATTCGGCTAGTGCTTCCTCCACAGCTTCTGCTCCTAAGGGTGCAATCTCGCAAGAAACTCAATTTCGAAGAGGTAGATCAAGGAGAGCTGTGACAAGTCGTTTTAGTGGTTTTGATGATGATGACGATGATGATCCTCCACCAGCACCGGTCTCTCTAGCTTCTATACCCGAAGCCATGGTAGTAGAACAAGATCTCCCCGAAGAATCCCAAGGTCTCTTTGTTTCTCAAGATCCGAACCGCGAAGTTCAAACATACCGCGCAATGTCCCAGTCTGTGGAACCTGAAGAATCATCTCAACCGACACGGCGATCAACAAGAAAAAGGTCTGCGCCCCCAATTCCCGAAGAAAAGTCATACATGGATAGTTTCGCACCCACTACTGCATCCTTTAAACGACAACGTCGAGAAAGAGGAGAACCAACTCCTCCACCTCCTGTCATTAAGAAAGAAGTAGTGGCTCCTGAATCAGCGAAAAGGAAAGAAAAGAAAGAAGTCGATATCGAAGCTTTGGTAGCCCAGCAACGTGAACGTGCTGAAGCAGCCGCACAAGCCGAAGAAAAATCTCTGAAACAAGCTGTCTCAACAATCGATATCGAGGAAATGCGCAAGCTAACCATAGTGGAGGACATGGAAGTTAAGCGATCCAGACCGGCACCAAAAACTGTAAGACATATGGACGAAAGTGAAAGATGGGATGATAAATGGAATGGACGGAAGAACTTTAAGAAATTCAGAAGGAGAGGCGCAGAAGATGGACCAGTAAGAGCTCATGCTAGAGTCATCGTACCTCTTGAAGAAGTTAGGAAGAGAGACAATGGAAATAGTGATGATTATTGGGGACTAGAAGGAAACGATAACGATACCCAGCCCCGAAGAAACAAAGGCAAAGGCAAAGCAAAAGAAACACAAACACAAGCAGAAACAGAAACGCAAGAAACACAAACCCCAATCTCCTCATCCCGCTCCAAAGCAAAAGCAAAACCGAAATCAAAGCCACAACCCCGAGAAATGAACTCTGAAAATGAAGATGAGGAATTGCCGGAAAATCCAATGGATGCGCGTGCTTTGAGCGCAGAAGTGGAGATCGTACCGGAATCGGAGGATGAAAATCAAGATCAATATCAAAATGGAAACGGAAATGGAAATGAAAATGAAAATGAAGACGATCCAGGTATATTCCGCTCCCTAACCCCCGCATCCACAGGACGAAGTTCACGAGCCTCGACGACGCAGAAGGAGAGTTTGAGGAGTAATGGGTTGAGTGGGACGGGAAGGGAAAGGGATGGTAGTATTGGGGTGGGTGGAAACAAAAGGGCGGCGGCAAGTTTGTTGGAGAAGACGGCGTCGGTTAAGAGGGTGAGGACGGGGGCGGGAGCTGGAAGTGGAAGGAGGAGGGTGGTGGAGGAGGAAGATGAGGATAGGTTTGTTTTTAGGTAGGAGGGGGATGGTGGATGGGGGGAGAGAGAGAGGGATGGCAGTGAATTTATGGGGGTGGTGAATTCATGGTGCCGGCTGTTTGCTTAATGATCTGATTTGATCCGATTAATCTGGATTGGTAGATTGATGCTAAATCAGCTAATTTTACTCTCTATCTTCTAATTTATTCCTGAGAGCCATATTGATCTCTGTACGTTTGTCTGTCTATATCATACATCCCTGTTCATGAAGCACCTATCTATACAGCTATGCTCATTTATGTAATAATCCAGCCAAGTCTACTCTATCTATCTAATTTCCTATACTCCCCACACTCCATACATACACATCACAAACCCTCCCCTCTCTCAATTATAAGCCTTCCTCTTCCTCTTTCTCTCTCTATTTCCTTCCCCCACTAGTCCATATCCTCCAACCCGCCCACCCCCTCAAACTCCTCTTCCCCAACACTAATCCCCACCAAACACGCCTCCAGCATACCCTCCCAATTAACCCACGGATGTACCTCCCCAAACAATCTCGTCCCATCTCTTCCCGCACACTTTAGTAGTTCCGGTTCGCCCCCCGGATGATACGGTAAATAGGGAGTAATGTTATACACCTTCCCTCCCAGCACCGTCCACGCATCTTTACCTTTTCGGCCGGAGAATTGTTTTAAGAGGGAAGGAGGAACGCGGAGGAGAGGGGTGGAGGGAGGGAGATTGCGGAGATTGGAGGTCGGGGAGGAAGTGAGACGGGCCCAGTCGAGGGGGGAGTGGTTGGGGGTGAGGAGGACCTTTTTGCGGGGTTTGGAGGGGATGGTGGTGTGGGATGGTGGGGGGGCGAGGGAGGGGGTTGTGAGTGATGAGGAGGGGGGGTTGCGGTTTGGGAGGGGGCTGCGAGAGGGGGGGTTGCGGTTTGGGAGGGGGCTGCGAGAGGGGGCGGAGAGTGATGAGGTTGTGGATTTAAAAGCAGGAAGAGGATTTAATCGTGGAGGGACTCGCGACCCGGTATTCGAAGCGCGTTGTGCGGAATGGGCAGCGGGGAAAGAGGGGATTTCTGGTTCTGGTTCGGGTTCGGATTCAGATTCTAGATCTATGGATGAGGATGTGGAATTCGTAGTGTCGAGCGAAAAGCTAGGGATTTGGGGAGTTTGCAGAGGAGGTTGAGAAGCGTGCGCGCGCGGAGTAGTGGGTGATGAGGGGGTTTTGGGTTGGGTTTTGGTCTTTGGGGTTGGAGTTGAGGTGGTCGAGGATTTTTTGAAGAGAGGAGGTGGTGGGGGCATGGCGGCGCGGTCGAGAGCGGCTTTGGAAGGAGGAGGAGAGGGGGGTTGTATTGAGGGGGTTTGAGAAGGGGCGGAGATTTGGAAGGTTGGCGCATTTGTTGCGGCTGTAGAGTTTCGTGTGGGCGCATTTATTGTGTGATTTGGTGGTGATGGCAAGGTTGAAGATTTCTCTTCTTTGTCTTCCCGTCCATCTACTCCTATGTTTCTCGGCGTCGAATCTTCTTGTTTCCCTTCTTTCTCTTTCTCATCTTCATCTCGATTTTGATTGCTACCCCCATCCCGAATCCTACCCCCCGGCCGCAAATTCAATCTCTCGAGAAATGTCCACCATCCTGCAGGCGCATGTTTATAATATAGAAAAGAAACTGAGGCGATCAGGAGACCGAGTCCTAGAAGGACCATAGTTGTTTGAGGGAAGGAATAAAGACTGATTGAATGGATGGATAGATGGGTCAATGAATATGTGTATTGAGCGATTAGGTATTCAATATCAAACTCCTATTCTTTATTGTACGTACGTACTTGTACTTGTAAATGCAATAAAACAAATGGATTTGTAATTAACATCAATATCTCAGCCTTACGTTGGATACCGATGGATAATTAATTCGTTTAAGGTGTAGTGTAGCCTGTCAGCAGTGGTTAGTGATGGAGGATGAGGACCCTTTTCAGTGACGCGGTGGGATTTGCGATCGGGTAAGTTGTGGGTTTGTGATTGGATGGTTGGGGTATGATGGGATGGAATATAGGGAAGGGCCCGCTGGTATGGTTTATGCTTTGTGTTATTTGGGATTGGGATTGATAATTAGCTGATTTAAATTATCTTTGATGTTTCTTGTTATTATCTGGTTGTTTTGTTTACATGTATATACGTGTATATACGTATCTATAATACATAATATAGCTTGTACATTCAAATACATCCATCTACTCTTACTGCAGTATTACAAGAATACGACACAACATCCTCACGGTATCACTTCTCATCCATCTCACTAACATCATTTTCACGAGACAATCCAGTCACCGCAGAGCTGTACAGATTACTCCGTTCCCGTCACCCATCACCCAGACAAGCCTCCCAACTAAGCCTTAAACGTATGTACAACACCACTATGCATACGTGTAACAGGGGAATCCCTCATGAATTAGGTATAGGGTCTATAGATATACCGGGAAAAGAATCTCAAACAAGGAAGATGTTCTTTACATATGTCTAGATATGTCTGTGTCTGACTCTTAATGCACTTTTTGCTGTTCCCCATGATCTTCAAAGTTATGTTTCTAGAGGGGGGATGGGTTGGTTATTACTTGGATGAGAGTGCTGAGATGAGGGGTGATATTGTCTCTCTTAGCTGTCATTGTCATTTTATATTGGAGTGATGTTTGTTGGCACTGATTTCATATATTGAAGTTATTAAGGGATAATAACTCATAACTCGGTTGGTAGCTATACGCTCAGGTGATCACTCGGTTTATTGCATGAATTTACAATCTAGGTAGGATAGATGAATTGAAGATATACGGAATAATGAGAAACAATCTTATCTGGTTCAAAGAATGGAATTATATATACCTAGTATATCACATCGTAGTAATGTAATAGAACATCACTTCGAAAGACATTGATATATCTAGCTAGCTAAGCTACCTACTATCTATCTACTATCTACTACCTACTTACTACCTACTCACCATCTCCCATCTACCGGTAGATCTAGATAATTTGCTGTAAAACTATTTGAATGCCTATGAATAAAAATAAGAATAAGGAGGTCAAATTTTATCATTCTGAAATTATAAAGTACCAAATGTCTTACTTCGTACCCAGACAGTGATTAGCTTGACCAGAACGCCGCTCTTTTTTTCCTATACCCCGTCCGTGTATCTCACAAACGTTGAACTTTGCAGTTTTACAGTTTTACAGTTTTACCCTATCGTACCACAGTAGTTTAATCGTCGAATACATATAAAATGCATCTTGTCTCATAATTCAATTTAGATGGATATTCACAAGGTTTCAATTATTCCAATATTGTGGATAACTTATTCAAAGCTCCTGCAATCCTTCTTATTATTCCTATTCTAATCGAGTATCTAAATCACTACTCGTACTCGTACTCATCATAGAGAACTCCTTTTTGATTAATTAACTTATGGTTTATTAGTATTTCTACTTGAACAAATAATAATATTATTACATTTCTATCTATCCATCCATCCAGCCATCCACTCATCCACTCATCCATCCCGTCATCATTCTCATTCATCCCATTCATTCGCTTGATACTCATGCAAATCGGCCCGCCTTATTATTATCAGTGGTCCATCAACTACCTACTACCTACTTACCACTCACTCACTCACTTACCACTGCATCTACCCCGTCTCCAAAAAAACAAACAAATTCCATTCCTTCTTCACAATCAACCCCTCAAAAGATCACACATCATACACCATAAGTCGTCTTTCTTATCGAATTTCTCCATCTACCATATAGTACAATAATGTCATAATGCGAGTGGTTTCGCAGAAAGATTCTGCGCCGTTGACCGCCAAAAGTGGTAATCCAAATATGCCTTCATACGATAAGACAACTCCCAATCGACCATTGGCACCAAGTTTAAGTGCTTCTACGAATAGAGGAAACAAACCCAAGACTCCATTAACTCCCAAAGTCTCGACAGCAAGACCGGCTTCGAGACAATCACGTCCAGAAAATACTACGCCAAATAATATTAAAGACGATTCATCGACTCTCGGTCCTACACTCATGAATGGTAACAATATCACCGCAAGATCAGGTACAAGAAAGACTCGATTCGATAGCATAAGTCATTCACCATCAGGAACTCCCTTACCTTCTGAAGGTCCTCGATTATATGATCCCACACAGAATGCGTCTGGATTGGGTATTTCAGGGATGGAGAGGGATACGACGAAACGATCAACTGTAGCATTCAGTCCTTCGAATTCAGAGTTAAATTGTTCACAATCTTCACAATCCTCTGCCGACTCCAAATTCTTCTTTGCGAGTGATGTAAAACCACAGAGTCACAGTACACAACAAACAAAACCTGCGTTCACTAAAAAACCTTCCGCCTTCTTTCATGCCAATGGAGATAAAGTCCCCAAGAAACAACCACATCGTTCTGGAGCATCAACCGTAGGATCAGCTTTTGGAGAGGAAAGAGGTCATGCAAAGTTTTTCCATGCCAACGGTACGCCGGAATTGGGACTATCACCTTCACCACAATTTGCGCCTCCTCGCCCGAGTTCGGTTCTCTCAACTCATTCTCGAGTCACATCGCCACGATTAGCAAATGCTACGACGACTTCCCCTTCACAACGACCCACGTCACCACAAAAACTAAATACACAATATGCCTCAATATCAACAGCCAGATCTCCGACCCCACTGGCTTCTCCTATTTTACCTCGACCGAAAGCTGTGGTTCGTGGACAATCGGCGAATAATGTTACACAGTCAAGAAGAACAAGTGGAGATGGGGGGTATGGGCATCAACGAAACACAAGCACAGGATCATCTATGGAGAGATTGGTATTGACAAGGAAGGTTTCATCGGGGGGCCATTCTACAGACATACCGAATCCTATAACAATCACAGAACCATCAAGTCCAGCCTCGATGTCACATACAGATGAGATACCTGAAGGAGAGGAGGAGGAAGAAGAAGAAGAAGAGGGGGAAAGTGAGGAAGAGGAGGACGACGATGATGGGGAATCACTTTCTTCTGAAGATGAAGTAATAGAAGAAGTACTCAAAGCCGGAGCTTCGATAGAACGTATGAACGAATTAGCAGCCATCGCACGAAATGAAAGGAAGGTTTTAGATTTGGAGATTACGAACTCATCACTTGCCGCTATAAACCGAACTCTAGAACGAGAAATGAGGAGGCAAACGGCGGAATTACGAAGATACAAACGACTAAGTCGTTCGGGTCGATTATCTATGGCCACGGGAGCCTCATCACGTGCAACAAGCGGGACTTTGTCTGTCGTGGATGAGAGAGATGGTAATGGTCTATCGGATATTAGCCAGGGAAATTCTGATTTAGAAGATGAGGAAGACGAAGAAGATGAAGAGGACCCATCTTCTGAAGAAGATCTCATTGATGCCGGAACATTAAGTCCTGGTGCGGTAGCCGAACATGATCTCAAACATCGAAAGAAGGACGAAAAAAGATTACGACTCGACTTATCAAAACATCAACAACTACTAATCGATAGTCAGAAAATGAATCAAAGTCTAAAGAAATGTTTAGGCTGGACCGAAGAACTTATCAATGAAGGAAAGAGAGCATTAGAATATAAGGTTAAAACGAGCGATATAGAATCTCTCGCACCTCGCGTCTTGATACCAGATGAATTCGACGATAATGGCGTTGAAATGGATAATGAAGGCATGTCAGCAATCGGTGCAAGTCTTTTGAGAGAAGCAAGGAAAGCAGCAGCGGAACAAAAAGAGAAGGCGAATAATCTTACGGTACCAACGGAAACAGATGAACAATTGGAGGATTTAACTCAGGATATCCAATTTGCGCTCTTTGCATCGGGGGGATCGAGTGAGATGCCAGTGGATGAGAAGAGTGAGGGAAGACCGGAATTGGTACCGATTGCTCCGCCTACTAGTCCTTGGGTTTCGACTTTTACATCGAGGTTGCAAACTCGTTCGTAGGAGGGGATAGAGGGGCGGAAGGAAGGGGAAGGGAAAAGGAAAGGGAGAAGATGTTTTGTATGAATGAAAGGAGGAAAGAAAGAAAGAAAGAAAGAAAGACGTGCATAGCATAGCAAGCATATCACCACTCATAAATTTGCAATCCGTAATGCTTTTTTGCTTTCTTTTTTTCCACAATTATGGTTTGGACTTGGACGTTGGGAATTCTTACGGAATGGATAATTTTCAAGGGGCCAGGAGTTTGGGTGTACGTACATACATATATACATATATGGACTGGGTCTGGCATTGCGAAGGGCGCATTTTTTTGTGTGAATAGGAATTGAGATGCTGGACGGATGGATGGATGGGATTTGGGATTGCTTGGAACATAGGTTGGGACGGAAAGGGTTGATTTGATCTGGGTTGGGTTGGAAAGGGGAGATGAAAGAAGGGAAGGAAAGGGAATACAATTTATTCGAATCATATCATGTTGTGTGTTTTGTGTGTGTGTTTGTGTACGTGTGTATTTATGTGTATATCTCTTAGAACTCGTTTGATTGTTTTGTGGATTGACTTTGACCTTTGACTTGATGCTTGCTTGCTTGTTTGTTATATCTATTGATACTAGATGTGATGAGAATTAGATACCCGAACTAGATGGATAGATAGATGGAGAGGTAGACGCAGACGCAGATGTAGAGGAAGAGGAAGATACTCCGAT